CAATTGGGTCTGTTTGTGCGTCATGCAAATAACCTTTGCATGAATTGAATGAAATGATATGTATTCATTTTTGGCCTACAAGTGCTGAACAACACAGATCAAAACAACTAACAAATTAAAAATACCCTAAAATCATAAAAAAAATAAATAATAAAGGTGTCAGTTTCCTACAGAGTTAAAAGCCAGGGAATAAAAATAGGTTTTCAATCTGGACTTAATAACCTGCATTGATGACGCTTGTCTAATTTGGAGGGGAAGGTTATTCCAGAGCATCGGAGCTGCAATTGAAAACGCTCTGTCTCTGCATTTCAGCTGCGACTTAGGGACCAACAGCAACAGCTGTTCAGCTGAACGGAGCGAGCGAGGAGGAACATGTGGCTTCAGCAAATCAGATAAGTAGACAGGAGCCAGACCATTTAAAGATTTAAAAACCAATAAAAGGACTTTAAATTTCAATGGTAAGCCAGTGCAAGGAAGCCAGAACCGGAGTGATGTGATCGAATTTCCTACTACCGGTTAAAAATCGTGCCGCCGCATTTTGCACTTACTACACGCGTGACAAGGTGCCTGACCTAACCCCTATTAAAAGGGAATTACAATAGTCCAGACGTGAGGTGATAAAAGCATGAATAAGAGTTTCCAAATTGGGTTTGGAAAGGAAAGGCTTAACCTTCGACAGGCGTCTGAGGTGATAAAAAGCTAATTTTATCACTCCATTTACATGACCTTCAAAAGTAAGCGCAGAATCAAGTTTAACACCAAGATTAGTGACTGAACTTTTCAGATGAGAGGTCAAATCACCAAAATCAACATCTGGAGAATCAGTAGAGCGATGTGGGCCATATAAAATTGCTTTCGTTTTGCGATCATTAAAATTCAAAAAAAAAAATTTGCCATCCATAATTTAATATCGCTAAGACAGTCAAGCAGTGATTGACATGGGGAGGTATCCAAACGTCATTCTGATAGTCTCCCAGGTCAACCTCTACTTGACTGCCTTACTGATGTTAAAGCATGGATGGCAAAACACTTTTTAAATTTTAATGATCGGAAGACAGAAGCCATTTTATTTGGCCCAAATCACATTTCGATTATTGCAATTCTCTTTAATAGGGGTTGGGCAGGGCACTTTGTCACGCTTGCAACTAGTGCAAAATGCTATGGCACGATTTTTAACTGGGAGAAGGAAATTTGATCACATCACTCCGACTTTGGCCTCTCTACACTGGCTTCCAATTGAATTTAGAATCCGCTTTAAAGTCCTTTTATTGGTTTTTAAATCTCTAAATGGTCTGGCACCTGTTTATTTGTCTGACTTGTTTAAAGCCCCATGTCCCCACTCGTTCCCTTCGGTCAGCTGAGCTGTTGCTGCTTTCGGTTCCAAAGTCACGGCTGAAACTTACAGGAGACTCTCTGTTGCAGCGCCGATGCTTTGGAATAACCTTCCTCTCCATGTTAGACAGGCTACATCAGTGCCAGTTTTTTAGTTTTTATTAAAGACCTATTTTTAGTCCCTGGCTTTTAACTCTGTGGATAACTAACGTTTTTTTTTATTAATTTGATTGCTTTGTCTGGTTTCTGCTATCTTATTACTATATGCATATTTGTATTGTACAGCACTTTGGTCTGCCAGTTTTGTTTTTAAAGTGCTGTATAAATAAATGATGATGATTAAGCACGGATTCATCCACTGAGGCTCAAACTGCACACATACATGAAAACATGATATTTATCTTATAAAAACATTATGTTTATTATTCATAATGGAAAGCCTTTCCAGGTGAATTTGATCCAGGAGGGTCTGAAGCCAGTGTCAGACAGAGACTGTGAAGAGACTATAGAATGACAGAGCAGCAGAGCAGTCCAGATACACTGATGATCCTCTGTCAGATCCAGAGGGACACACAGGGATGATGCTGGACTCTACATTGTGTCTGACAGTGGAGCTGTTCTCAGAGCAGTTCACTCTGCAGCACTGACAGTCATCTTTTCATGCATCTGTCAGTCACTGCTGGATGAAGCTCTCCACTCCATCTCACAGTAACATGGCCCAGTCAGAGCGTCTCTACACACAAGCTGCTGCTGCTTCAACCTCTCTGGATCATCAGGACACAGCTGCTCCTCTCTCAGCACGCACATTGTCCTGTTTACCCTCATCACCTCCACCTGCAGAGAGAAGGAGGAAGAGCAGAGGAGATAAACGAGTGTTTCCAGAGACTCTTCATCAGCTGTCAGTCAGTGATGCAGCACATCCAGTATAAAGAGCAGCAGGGACTTCAGTGGTGAGACTGTACTAGGACTCATTGTTTCACTTTTTCTAATCTGTACTTTGGATTTTTATTGAAGTTGATGAAAATGTTTTTCACTCCTAGTTTATTTTGGACTTTCATTAATTAGAATAACCTTGGTCTGTCCACTTTGAGCTCTTTAGGAACCCCAACAACAAGCCCAACAATCCAGATGGAATGGTTCCAGCTGTTAACTGGAGGAATTCCATCCAAACATCTGGTCTCACTAAATTCTTCCTCACCTACAGACTGTGCTGTCTGTGAAGGTTCTCAGTCATCCAGGTCATCATAGTCTAAAGGGCTTGGAAAGAAAAGCGTCTGGACTTCTTTAAGTTGCTTGAAGATGTTTCACCTCTCATCTGAGAAGCTTTTTCAGTTCAAGGGTCAAATGGTGGACAGTCCCAGATTTAAGCCCTGTGGGAGTGTCCCCAAAGGGGACACGGACTCCATATTGATCCTCTTCCTAATCACACGAGACAAGGTGTGAAAACAGGTGTGGGTTTTGGGTGAACTAATTGTGCAACCTAGCCCCACCCCATCAAGTGATTTATTGAGGTCAAAAGGCCCAGGATGTGAGTGGGTGTTAAGGAGTCTGGGAAGGGATCTCAAAACCAGATTACAGTTGGTGTCGTAAGCCACCTCATCCGTTCAAAGATCGTTCACAGCGGACATAGATGGTTTCTTTCACTCCTCTTTAAAACCATCTGTCTTCTCTGTCCAAAATGTGAACATTGTCATCCTCAAATGAGTGACCTTTGTCCTTTTGATGGAGACTGCTTGAAACTTGGAAATAATTGCAGTCATTGGTCTGCACGCTACTTTGTTGAGAGAGCTGATTAGCTGCTGACCGTGTTTGATGAGAGCATGTGAGCCGTTACTATGGTAACCATACAGCTTGCAAAAAGGTAGAAACAGGAAGTGTTTGTGTCCAATTCTGAAGCCTGTTACCATTCTCTTCTAACAGCTTCACTGAGAAGCTGCAGCTTTACAGGAAACACTTGATCTTTGTTTCGTATTGATTGTGTTTAGTACAACACTGCTGACAGCACCACCCACTCACTCCAACACTGTACTGACCTCAGAGTCTCCAGTCTGTAGTCTGGACTCTCCTCAAGATCACACAGCTGCTTAACATCTGGATACTGCATATTATTTTCAGCCAGGTCTATCATTCTCAGATGGGAGGGGTTGGACTTCAGTGTTGCTGCCAGATAATCACAGCTGATCTTTGACAAACCACAGCTCAACAATCTGTATAAAGAATGAAAGATGTAAGTTTATTAGACAAAGTGTGTTCTTGAAATCATTCAGTGTTTCATCATCTGTTCAGAGCTGAAGAAGGTTGAGAATGTAAAAGTTTAGAAAATGGAAACTCAAACTGCTTAAGCCAACAGGAAGCAGCTTCAAACAGGAAACTGTGCAGATTTTTCAGACTATATGCCCCGATGCAGCCAGTTTGATTTTGGTGATTTAAATCTCTGTTCCTTGAATTATTTGTTCCATACAGACAAAGTATTGGACATGTGTTGTGACTCCATTAGGGGAGCTTCTACATAGAATAGATAGAATAGAATACCATAGAACAGAATAAACCTTTTTAATCCCATGAATGAGAAATTTGGGTGTTACATGGCTCTTATAGCAAGAGGAATATAAAAAAAGACACAAAGTAGTCCTACATAAATAAACCTAAATTCGAACAGATAAAAAAGTGTACAGAGATATGTACATAAGTGTGTGGGGGTGGGTTGTGAATGATCCTAATGAAATATACAGTGTACACACAAGCTGCAAATAAGAAGCAATTAAAAAACACAAGATATGTCAATTAAACAGGTGATTAGTAAGATAACCATGTTAAACTGTGTTATAGAGTCTGACAGCTGCTGGTAAGAATGACCTGCGGTAGTGTAAAAGATGACCGTTCAGCGGTCGTCTGTGGGTGTAAACGACGACCACTGAACAAGCTGCTCAGTGCTCATTACAGTCTCATGCAGGGGATGGAGAGGCATTGTCCATGATGAATGTTAGCTTATAATAATAATGGATTGGATTTATATAGCGCTTTTCAATGCACCCAAAGCGCTTTACAATGCCACTATTCATTCACTCTCACATTCATACATACAGATGCGCTTCCCAACCCCCTGAGCCACTTGGACAACATCCTCTTCTACCCAACCTGCTCAATGAACTTCAGAGGAAATTCCAGGACAGAGCTGGCCCTCTTGACCATTTTATTAATTTCCCCCTGTCCCTCTCTGCCATTCTACCACTCCAGCACCATAAAAGGCAGCAGATGCCGCCAGTGTCATTAAACGTCTTTAGAAGAGTCCTGTTCACCCCAAAGGATCTCAGCCACCGTAGCAGATGAAGACAACTTAGACCCTTTTTATAAAGTGTATTTGCATTCATGGACCAATCCATTTTGTTACTGAGGTAAACACCCAGGTATTTGTACTCCTCCACCGTTTCTGTTAGGGGGTGGTGAGTAAGAGAACCCAGACGCGGTCCGCTCGTTAAGGTTGAACAGTGTCTTTATTTACAGTGAAGCCAATCCAAAGTAATCCACAGTGCAAAATCCCTTCCGTGCTCCCCTCGTGTGTCCACACGACTTTCGTGAACAGTGACGTCTCTCCTCTCGTATCTCCGTCTCACTCGTAGCCAGGCTTGGTGGAATACTCCAGCGCTGTCTGTCACTCAGCCACACCATTAAATAGCTCTGTTACAATGGTGGATGATTGGCAGCAGCTGGCGAGGAATCAGTTGCAGGTGGAACCGCTCAGAGTGGCGGCACTTCCGGGTCGGACATCTCCCGTTGCTACGCAACCGCGTAACAACTACAACGGAGACAAAAACAGAGCGGGAGAACAAACACACATACACACACAGGTCGCCGGTCGGGGCACCGTCGGACCTGACAGTTTCAATGTCCAAACCCTGGATGTTCACTGGTGTAAAGTCAACCACCAGTTCCTTCATGTTGCTAGCATTGACGCCAAGATGGTTCACACCAGCTGACAAAGGCATTGATGACCCCCCTGTATTCCAGTTTGTTTCCCTCCGACAACCGACTCACAATGGCCTGAGAACTTCTGGAGATGGCAAGTGTCTGTGTAATATCTGAAGTCCGCGGTGTACAGGGTGAAGAGGAAAGGGGCAAGTACTGTTCCTTGTGGGGCCCCCGTGCTACAGACTACCACCTCAGACACCCAGTCCCCCAGCCTCATATACTGGGGTCTAGTGGTGAGGTAGTCTACAATCCATGTAGATGGTCCACACCCACTCCCTGCAGCTTCCTCTTAGCACTGAGGGCTGGATTGTGTTAAACATTAGGTCTCTCTCCTCCAAGTCTCTGTTAGTACATGACTTAATAATTGATCAACAAATCAATTTACGCTGCCTTACAGAAACCTGGTTGACGCAGGATGATTATGTTAGTTTAAATGAATCAACACCCCCGAGTCATTCTAACTACCAGAAATCTCGAAGCACAGGCTGAGGGGGTGGTGTGGCAGCAATTTTTCACACCAGCCTAGGGCTGTGCGATATGACCAAAATCTCATATCCCGATGTAAGACATCTATCGTCCCAATAACGATATAAATCACAAAAATTTAAAATTTTTTGTAAATTCTGTGAATCCGGGCAGCTCGACTTGCGTGAAATGTTTCCAGCTGGGCGTTGTGTACCTGGACTCGAGTGTTTAAACCAATGCATGAAATTATACATTTTTAGACATAAGTGTTAACGGCCGCTGTTTTCTTTGTGATTATTTATTACACGGCGTGCTGCGGGGAAAAGCCTGTTCTAACGTTTGAATCTAAGGTTTATTTTTTAGCACCTGGAGGCTCTTTTTAGCTTCTCATCCGTAAAGACTGCATACTCTTTCACGTGATTCAGTTTATTTTGAAAAGTCTCAACAGGATCTTGAGCTTTACTGTGAAAGGTTTATGTGGAAAATAAACAAGCAGACACGCGATGTTTTTACCGTCGTTGTTGCTAACGACAATGTATAAAAACAGTCGCTTGTCCGTCCATAGTGTGATTGTATTAAATATAAGAGAAGGAGAGAACTTTAAGAAATTAATATAGCCACTACAGTGACCATCAAAACGATGAAAAAATATTGCCGTAAACAGTTTATTTTGCAACACCACGAAAAAAACGATGGCATAAAAGGAAACTATAGATGTTTTTATATCGTCATCCGATATATATCGTTATGTCGGACAGCCCTACACCAGCCTATTAACCAACGAAAGACCAAGACAGACTTTTAATTCATTTCAAAGCCTGATGCTTAGCCTTGTCCACCCCAGCTGTAAAACTCAGAAACCAGTCTTACTTATCATCTATCGTCCACCTGGGCCTTACACAGAGTTTCTATCTGATTTCTCAGACTTTATATCTGATTTAGTGCTCAGCTCAGATAAAATATTTATTGTGGGTGATTTTAACATTCATATAGATGCTAAAAATGACAGCCTCAACATGGCATTTAATCTGTTATTAGACTCAATTGGCTTGTCTCAAAACTTTAATCTTTAACCACAGTCTAGATCTTGTTTTAACATATGGCATAGAAACTGAACATTTAACAGTATTTCCTGAAAACCCTCTCCTGTCTGATCATTTCCTGATAACATTTACATTTACAATAATCGATTACACAGCAGTGGAGAGTAGACTTTATCAAAGTAGATGTCTTTCTGAAAGGGCTGTAACTAAGTTTAAGAATATAATCCACCCACTGTTATCACCTTCAATGCCCTGTACCAACATAGAGCAGAGCAGCTATCTGAACGCTACCCCAACAGAGGTCGATTATCTTGTTAATAACTTTACCTCCTCACTACGTACGACTCTGGATACTGTAGCTCCTGTGAAAACTAAGGCCTCAAATCAGAAGTACCTGACTCCATGGTATAATTCTCAAACACGTACCCTAAAGCAGATGACTCGTAAGCTGGAGAGGAAATGGCGTGTCACAAATTTAGAGGATCATCATTTAGCCTGGAGAAATAGCTTGCTGCTTTATAAGAAAGCCCTCCGCAAAGCCAGAACATCTTACTATTCATCACTGATTGAAGAAAATTAGAACAACCCCAGGCTTCTCTTCAGCACTGTAGCCAGGCTGACAAAAAGTCAGAGCTCTGTTGAGCCAACCATCCCTTTAACGTTAACTAGTAATGATTTCGTGAACTTCTTCACAAATAAAATTTTTATCATTAGAGAAAAAAATACCAATAATAATCCCACAGATGTAATATTATCTACAGCTACTTTTAGTACCATTGGTATTAATTTACACTCTTTTTCTCCAATCAATCTTTCTGAGTTAACTTCAATAATTACTTCTTCCAAACCATCAACGTGTCTTTTAGGCCCCATTCCTACAAAACTGCTCAAAGAAGTCCTGCCATTAATTAATGCTTCAATCTTAAATATGATCAACCTATCTCTAATAATCGGCTATGTACCACAGGCCTTCAAGCTGGCTGTAGTTAAACCTTTACTCAAAAAGCCATCTCTAGACCCAGCAGTCTTAGCTAATTATAGGCCAATCTCCAACCTTCCTTTCATATCAAACATCCTTGAAAGAGTAGTTGTCAAACAGCTAACAGATCATCTGCAGAGGAATGGTTTATTTGAAGAGTTTCAGTCAGGTTTCAAAGCTCATCACAGCACAGAAACAGCTTTGGTGAAGGTTACAAATGATCTTCTTATGGCCTCTGACAGTGGACTCATCTCTGTGCTTGTCCTGCTAGACCTTAGTGCAGCATTCGATACTGTTGACCATAATATCCTATTAGAGCGATTAGAACATGCTGTAGGTATTACAGGTACTACGTTGCAGTGGTTTGTATTATATCTATGTAATAGACTCCAATTTGTTCATGTAAATGGAGAGTCCTCTTCACACACTGAGGTTAATTATGGAGTTCCACAGGGTTCAGTGGTAGGACCAATTCTGTTTACATTATACATGTTTCCCTTAGGCAGTATCATCAGAAGACATAGCATACATTTTCACTGCTATGCAGATGACACCTAGCTCTATCTGTCCATGAAGCCAGATAACACATACCAATTAGTTAAATTGCATGAATGTCTTAAAGACATAAAGACCTGGATGGCCGCTAAATTTCTGCTTCTTAGTTCAGATAAAACTGAGGTTATTGTACTCGGCCCTGAAAATCTTAGAAGTATGGTATCTAACTAGATTGATACTCTGGATGGCATTACCTTGGCCTCCAGTAACACTGAGGAACCTTGGAGTCATTTTTGACCAGAATATGTCCTTCAACGAATTTAAAATCCTGCTCCTCACATACAATGTCTTAAATAATCAGGCCCCATCTTATCTTAATGACCTTGTAGTACCATATCACCCTATTAGAGCACTTCGCTCTCGCTCTGCAGGCCTACTTCTTGTTCCTAGAGTATTTAAAAGTAGAATGGGAGGGAGAGCCTTCAGTTTTCAGGCCCCTCTTCTGTGGAACCAGCTTCCAGTTTGGATTCAGGAGACAGAAACTATTTATACTTTTAAGATTAGGATTAAAACTTTCCTTTTTGTTAAATCATATAGTTAGGGCTGGACCTGGTGACCCTGAATCCTCCCCTAGTTATGTTGCAATAGACATAGGCTGCCGGTGGATTCCTATGATGCGCTGATGATGTGTTAATAGACCTCTCTGCATTGAATCATATCTGTTATTCATTTCTGTCTCTCTTCCACAATATGTCTTTATCTTTATCCTGTCTTCCTTCTCTCACCCAATCGGTTGCAGCAGGTGGCCGCCCCTCCCTGAGCCTGGTTCTGCCGGAGTTTTTCCTTCCCACTGTCACCAAAGTACTTGCTCATAGGGGGTCATATGATTGTTGGGTTTTTCTCTGTATCTATTATAATAGGATATGCTGTACAATATAAAGTGCCTTGAGGCGACTGCTGTTGTGATTTGGCGCTATATAAATAAAATTTTAATTAAATGTTCATCTCAGCACAAATAAAACATGGTGACTGACCCCAGAGTTTCAAGTCCACATCCTGGACTCTCTAGAAAACCACACAGCTGCTTCACTCCTGAATCCTCCATCTTGTTGTTCTCACTCAGGTCCAGCTCTCTTAGATGTGTGGGGTTGGACTTGAGCGCTGCTGCCAGATAAGCACAGCTCGTGTCTGACAAACCACAGCTCCACAACCTGTATAAAGAATGAAAGATGGAGGTTTATTAGATAAAGTGTGTGCTCTTCTTCTGTTTAGCTTCTGCTTCTCCAGTCTGAGTGACAGAGCATCACTTGAAATCACAGAAAGTGATTGGTCAGCTGCAGTGATAGTGGCGGAGCAGTATTATGCTGTAGATCAACAGGAACAGGGGATATCAGACTGTTAAGTGGGTTTAGTCATTCCTGCTGCACTGTTTGTCCTTCTTATTGACGTGACCTGCTGAGAACTCACACTGTTCTCTGTAGAAATGATTTCAGTCTGACTCATTACATGTTTGGAGGCATGTTCAATGTTTGCTCTTCTGGAAAATCTCACTATAAGATATGGAATATGCAAAAGAATAAAGACACGCTTCAATCTTTATGGACCCGTTTCCATACCTGCCACCATCATCCTACATGTTTGTACATAAGCTTATGAAATCCTGCCTGCTGTTAAAATCTTTATTTATTACTCTACACCTGTTACACTGTGACTGTGCAGGCGGAGGTGCCTGAGCTCACTTGACCTGCTAAAGTGAGTCAGCTGTGGATTATTCATCATTGTTTCTGATACTTAGACCTGTGAACAAGAAAACTACACAGTTAGTCAGGCTCTCCTCTCTTTGAATTAGGAAAGGTAAGCAGGCCGTGAATGAGGCGCGGGCCATTCATTGAATATCATTATTTGAAATACAGTGAGTGTAGAATTATTAGGCAAGTTGTATTTTTGAGGAATTTTATTATTGAACAACAACCATGTTCTCAATGAACCCAAAAAACTCATTAATATCAAAGCTGAATGTTTTTGGAAGTAGTTTTTAGTTTGTTTTTAGTTTTAGCTATTTTAGGGGGATATCTGTGTGTGCAGGTGACTATTACTGTGCATAATGATTAGGCAACTTAACAAAAAACAAATATATACCCATTTCAATTATTTATTTTTACCAGTGAAACCAATATAACATCTCCACATTCACAAATATACATTTCTGACATTCAAAAACAAAACAAAAACAAATCAGCGACCAATATAGCCACCTTTCTTTGCAAGGACACTCAAAAGCCTGCCATCCATGGATTCTGTCAGGGTTTTGATCTGTTCACCATCAACATTGCGTGCAGCAGCAACCACAGCCTCCCAGACACTGTCCCAGACACTGTTCTCCCTCCTTGTACAGTGGGGCAAAAAAGTATTTAGTCAGCCACCGATTGTGCAAGTTCCCCCACCTAAAATGATGAGAGAGGTCAGTAATTTGCACCAGAGGTACACTTCAACTGTGAGAGACAGAATGTGAAAAAGAAAATCCACGAATTCACATGGTAGGATTTGTAAAGAATTTATTCGTAAATCAGGGTGGAAAATAAGTATTTGGTCAATAACAAAAATACAACTCAATACTTTGTAACATAACCTTTGTTGGCAATAACAGAGGTCAAACGTTTACTATAGGTCTTTACCAGGTTTGCACAAACAGTAGCTGGTATTTTGGCCCATTCCTCCATGCAGATCTTCTCGAGAGCAGTGATGTTTTGGGGCTGTCGCCAAGCAACACGGACTTCCAACTCCCGCCACAGATTTTCTATGGGGTTGAGGTCTGGAGACTGGGTAGGCCACTCCAGGACTTTCAAATGCTTCTTACGGAGCCACTCCTTTGTTGCCCGGGCGGTGTGTTTTGGATCATCGTCATGTTGGAAGACCCAGCCTCGTTTCATCTTCAAAGTCCTCACTGATGGAAGGAGGTTTTGGCTCAAAATCTCACGATACATGGCCCCATTCATTCTGTCCTTAACACGGATCAGTCGTCCTGTCCCCTTGGCAGAAAAACAGCCCCATAGCATGATGTTTCCACCCCCATGCTTCACAGTAGGTATGGTGTTCTTGGGATGCAACTCAGTATTCTTCGTCCTCCAAACACGACGAGTTGAGTTTATGCCAAAAAGTTCTGCTTTGGTTTCATCTGACCACATGACATTCTCCCAATCCTCTGCTGTATCATCCATGTGCTCTCTGGCAAACTTCAGACGGGCCTGGACATGCACTGGCTTCAGCAGCGGAGCACGTCTGGCACTGCGGGATTTGATTCCCTGCCGTTGTAGTGTGTTACTGATGGTGACCTTTGTTACTTTGGTCCCAGCTCTCTGCAGGTCATTCACCAGGTCCCCCCGTGTGGTTCTGGGATCTTTGCTCACCGTTCTCATGATCATTTTGACCCCACGGGATGAGATCTTGCGTGGAGCCCCAGATCGTGGGAGATTATCAGTGGTCTTTTATGTCTTCCATTTTCTGATGATTGCTCCCACAGTTGATTTTTTTCACACCAAGCTGCTTGCCTAATGTAGATTCACTCTTCCCAGTCTGGTGCAGGTCTACAATACTTTTCCTGGTGTCCTTCCAAAGCTCTTTGGTCTTGGCCATGGCGGAGTTTGGAGTCTGACTGTTTGAGGCTGTGGACAGGTGTCTTTTATACAGATGATGAGTTCAAACAGGTGCCATTCATACAGGTACGAGTGGAGGACAGAAAAGCGTCTTACAGAAGACATCACAGGTCTGTGAGAGCCAGAGATTTTCCATGTTTGAGGTGACCAAATACTTATTTTCCACCCTGATTTACGAATAAATTCTTTACAAATCCTACCATGTGAATTCATGGATTTTTTTTTCACATTCTGTCTCTCACAGTTGAAGTGTACCTCTGGTGCAAATTACTGACCTCTGTCATCATTTTAAGTGGGGGAACTTGCACAATTGGTAAATACTTCTTTGCCCCACTGTAAATCTCACATTTGATGATGGACCACAGGTTCTCAATGGGGTTCAGATCAGGTGAACAAGGTGGCCATGTCATTAGTTTTTCTTCTTTTATACCCTTTCTTGCCAGCCACGCTGTGGAGTACTTGGACGCGTGTGATGGAGCATTGTCCTGCATGAAAATCATGTTTTTCTTGAAGGATGCAGACTTCTTCCTGTACCACTGCTTGAAGAAGGTGTCTTCCAGAAACTGGCAGTAGGACTGGGAGTTGAGCTTGACTCCATCCTCAACCCGAAAAGCCCCCACAAGCTCATCTTTGATGATACCAGCCCAAACCAGTACTCCACCTCCACCTTGCTGGCGTCTGAGTCGGACTGGAGCTCTCTGCCCTTTACCAATCCAGCCACGGGCCCATCCATCTGGCCCATCAAGACTCACTCTCATTTCATCAGTCCATAAAACCTTAGAAAAACCAGTCTTGAGATATTTCTTGGCCCAGTCTTGACGTTTCAGCTTGTGTGTCTTGTTCAGTGGTGGTCGTCTTTCAGCCTTTCTTACCTTGGCCATGTCTCTGAGTATTGCACACCTTGTGCTCTTGGGCACTCCAGTGATTTTGCAGTTCTGAAATATGGCCAAACTGGTGGCAAGTGGCATCTTGGCAGCTGCACGCTTGACTTTTCTCAGTTCATCGGCAGTTATTTTGCGCCTTGGTTTTTCCACACGCTTCTTGCGACCCTGTTGACTATTTTGAATGAAACGCTTGATTGTTCGATGATCACGCTTCAGAAGCTTTGCAATTTTGAGACGGCTGCATCCCTCTGCAAGATATCTCACTATTTTTGACTTTTCTGAGCCTGTCAAGTCCTTCTTTTGACCCATTTTGCCAAAGGAAAGGACGTTGCCTAATAATTATGCACACCTGATATAGGGTGTTGATGTCATTAGACCACACCCCTTCTCATTACAGAGATGCACATCACCTAATATGCTTAATTGGTAGTAGGCTTTCGAGCCAATACAGCTTGGAGTAAGACAACATGCATGAAGAGGATGATGTGGACAAAATACTCATTTGCCTAATAATTCTGCACTCCCTGTATGAACATTGTTCTGCTACAGTCAATGGACTAAACCAGAGAAGAAGAAAACAGCCTTTACCATGAAGATCCTCCAGTATATACTTTTGCCAGTATAATATCAGCCTTATGTCTGTAATTTACTGTCAGCACAACTTTCACATCATATTCATCTCAGCACAACTAAAACATGCTGACTGACCTCAGAGTTTCAAGTCCACATCCTGGACTCTCCAGAAAACCACACAGATGATTCACTCCTGAATCCTGCAGCTTGTCGTTGTCACTCAGGTCGAGCTCTCTTAGATGGGAGGGGTTGGACTTGAGCGCTGCTGCCAGATAATCACAGCTCATCTCTGATAAACCACAGGTCCTCAATCTGTATAAAGAATGAAAGATGGAGGTTTATTAGACAAAGTGTGTGCTTGAAATCATTCAGTGTTTCATAATCTGTTGAGAGCCAAAGAAGGTTCAGAATGTAGAAGTCAGGAAAATGGAAACTCCAAACAGCTGAAGCCAACAGGAAGCAGCTTCAAACACAAGAAAAGGAACAACTCTGAATTTTTCACATTAAGGTCATACAATGATCATAAAAACATGAAAAATTGTCAAGTTTTATCCTGTGAAATCAAGTCTGAGAGGTGAGCAGTCTTCCGAAGCCTTCACTGTCTGATAGTGATGTTTAAATGTTGGCTCAGAGCAGGAGTTTTATCATTAGTTTGCTTTTCTTATTATGTTTATCTTCTGCTTCACAGATATTCTCTGAAATGTTTCCGCACTGTTGGACACTGTTTCACAGATTGCTGAGTGCCGTGACCTGCTAAAGAGAGTCAGCTGTTGAGTATTCATTGTTGTGTCTGACACTTAGAACTTTGAAGAAGAACGTTACACAGTTTATGAGGGTCCCTCTCTCTGAATTAGGAAAGGTCAGCAGGCCGGTTGGCACCCTGTGGAGGGCCGCGGGCCATACGTTGAGTATCACTGTTTGAAATGTGAAGATTGTTCTGCTACAGTCAATAGACTAAACCAGAGAAGAAAACAAACTTCCCCATGAACATCCTTAGAGTGGATCAGTATAATATCAGCCTCATGTCTGCAGTTTAGTGTCAGCACAACTTTCACATCATATTCATCTCAGCACAACTAAAACATGGTTACTGACTTCAGAGTTTCAAGTCCACATGCTGGTCTCTCCAGAAAACCACACAGCTGCTTCACTCCTGAATCCTGCACCTTGTTGTTGTCACTCAGGTCCAGCTCTCTCAGATGGGAGGGGTTGGACTTCAGCGCTGCTGCCAGATATTGAAGGCTCTTCTCTGACAAACCACAGGTCCTCAATCTGTATAAAGAATGAAAGATGGAGGTTTATTAGACAAAGTGTGTGCTTGAAATGATTCATTTCATTTCCATAATCTGTTCAGAGCTGAAGAAGGTTTACAATATAGAAGTTTAGAAAATGGAAACTCCAAATAGCAGAGGTGAACAGGAAGAGGCTTCAAACAAACACAACAAAAGAGAAAAAAATTTCACACTAAAGTTGTACATTTCCACTGTGTGAAATGGAAAAAGAAATATCAGAGTCCAAAAATATTACCAATTCAGGAGGCCGTCAGTGGGACTGTGGTGAAGGCTCTACACTAAAGCTACACCAAAAGCTGAAGTATTCCTATTATTATGTTTAGCTTCTGCTTCACAGATATTCTCTGAATATTTCCTGCTGTTGGACAAACTAGCACAGTTTCTTCATTCAGGAGATGTCCTGTGGAGTTCATCTGTGCACACACAGAGCTACCAAACTCATCTCATACTGAGCACGCACACTTTGTAGAAATCGTTTAGCATTTCTCCAGTCTGAGTCACAGAGCATCACTTGAAATCACAGAAGCTCATTGGTCAGCTGCAGTCATGGTGGTGGAGCAATATTAATAATGATGCTGTAGACCAACAGGAACAGGGGATATCAGACTGTTAGTGGGTTTAGTCATTCCTGCTGCACTGTTTGTCCTTCTTATTGACGTGACCTGCTGAGAACTCACACTGTTCTCTGTAGAAATGATTTCAGTCTGACTCATTACATGTTTGGAGGCATGTTCAATGTTTGCTCTTCTAGAAAATCCTCACTATAAGATATGGAATATGTATAGGAATGGAGCCACGCTTCAGTTGTTATGAACTTGGTTGCAGTCTAGTGTCAGCACAACTTTCACATTATATTCATCTCAGCACAACTAAAACATGCTGACTGACCTCAGAGTTTCAAGTCCACATCCAGGACTCTCCAGAAAACCACACAGTTGCTTCACTCCTGAATCCTGCAGCTTGTCATTGTCACACAGGTCCAGCTCTCTCAGATGGGAGGGGTTGGACTTGAGCGCTGCTGCCAGATAATCGCAGCTGATCTCTGACAAACCACAGCTCCTCAATCTGTATAAAGAATGAAAAATGTAAGTTTATTACCCAAAGTGTGTGCTTTTTCTAATAACTTGTGCAACTTTTTTGTATTTACAGTTTTGTCTTAAATTAAATTTAACTAGCAATATATGTTTAAAAAAAACAAACAAAAAAAACAAATTGATTTTCAAATTTTTTTTTTTTAGTTTATTGAACTTTTTTGCAATTAATGTCGTTACTATGGACTTAATACATACATAATGCATTAAAATTTGGGCTATAACAGTTGAATTCATGTATAGCAACTTGAAATGCTCCCAAAAATGGCACTGCAGCATATAAAAATATGAAGATAAGCTTAGGGGGACTTGGTTCTATGGTAGGTCTTAAAGGGTTAAGCGTAGCATGTCTTTATGGCTCTGCAATATTGATAACATCTTGGAGAAGATGTCTCCCCAATGTGATGTTTGTGTATTGCATGTACGGTTGGAAAGGTCTGTCATCTCGGTTGTGGGCAACTGCAACTGACAAATAAAGGCTATCATCATCACCTATCACCTTAATGTCACTGTTGACTCTATTCGGCAGAGCCAGGTAACTAAGACGTGATCTGTCATGTCTGCATGTGTGCGCAGACCATAGGTTGAGTATCACTGTTTGAAATGTGAACATTCTTCTACAACAGACTTTACCATGAACATCCTCAGTGTGGATCAGTATAATATCAGCCTTATGTCTATATTTAGTGTCAGCACAATTTTTACATCATATTCATCTCAGCACAACTAAAACATGGTGACTGACCTCAGAGTTTCAAGTCCACATCCTGGTCTCTCCAGAAAACCACAAAGCTGATTCACTCCTGAATCCTGCAGCTTGTCGTTGTCACTCAGGTCGAGCTCTCTTAGATGGGAGGGGTTGGACTTGAGCGCTGCTGCCAGATAATCACAGCTCATCTCTGACAAACCACAGCTGTCCAATCTGTATAAAGAATGAAAAATGGAAGTTTATTATTATTATTATTATTATTATTATTATTATGCACTGGCTCCCTATTAAATTTCATATTGATTTTAAAATCTTATTGCTCACTTTTAAAATCATAAATAACACCGCGCCCAGCTATCTTGCAGATCTCCTCAGCTTTTATACCCATGGGAGAGCGCTTAGATCAGCAGGCCAAATGCTCCTGGTGCGACCTAGATCTTGGCTCAAGACCAGAGGTGACCGCGGATTCGCCACTGTCGCACCCTACCTCTGGAATAACCTCCCTCTAGCTATTCGGGGATTTGATTCAATTCAAGCTTTTAAATCTCGATTAAAAACGTATTTGTTTAGCCTTGCTTTCTCCGCCTCCTAGAGCCCGCATTTTTAGTGTACTGTAAGTTATCTTTTTCGCTTTATTAATATTTATAATGTTTTAACTTTCAGCCTTTCGTGTTGTGCCTACTATGCCTGGTGTATTATTGGTTAGTTATGTCACCCGCCTGTTAGTATATTTTATTTGTATTTTGTGTTTTGTATTTATTATTGCTCTTAACTCGTTCTGTGAAGCACTTTGGCATACCTGTGGTTTTTTAAATGTGCTATATAAGTAAAATTGTAATTGTATTTATTAGACAAAGTGTGAGCTTGAAATCATTCAGAGTTTCATAATCTGTTCAGAGCTGAAGAAGGTTCAGAATGTATAAGTTTAGAAAATGGAAACTCCAAACAGCTGAGGTCAACAGGAAGCATCTTGAAACAAACACAACAAGAGAAAAAACTGAATTTTTCACATTAAAGTCATACATTTATCATAAAACATGAAAAAAATGTCAAGTTTCATTCTGTGAAATCAAAAAAACTGAACAAGAAACATCCAGGTCCAAAACCGAAAAAATTACCAGCTTAGGAGGCCGACAGTGGGACTTTGGTGGAGGCTCTACACTAAAGCTACTCAAAAGAGCCGAAGTGTGAAGCTGAAACTGTAAACCTCTGAGTGAAATAGCTACAGTATCTTTCATGTCACAAGAAACGTTCTTAATGCCACGCTGATGAAAGCATCATGCTTTTTTGTCCTGCTGCTTTTATTGAGTCACACTATGAAACTGTGCTGAGCCACAACTGAACCAGCATCACTGTACAGCAGACACTTATAGCACTTGGCTGCTTCCATTGAACTCTCTGTAAGGAGTTTCAGTTTCCTCTTCTGGTCCCAAAGTTCAGAACAACAAGGTTTCAAATAACTTTGATCTAGCAGCATCAGCCACAGAAATGCAGAGAAAATGCTTTGGATCTCTTCGTTGTGTTGTATGATGCTGTGTTTCCATATCTGGCGTCTTTGTTGCTTTGTGAGGATGGATCACTAATCTACTGCAGCTTCTGATAAACAAGCTGGACCTGAACCTGGGATCTTCACTTAGAAAACACTTGTGAGTGGAACATGTGAGAAGTTTTGTGCAGACAAGTGTGGATTTAGAGTGTGGGACGAGCTCTCCACAGTCTTTGTGGAGATCCACATTCTGTATAGTGCCTGTGAGAAGCTGGAGACATTTCTCCTCCAATTCCACTGAGCAGCTGCTCGTGGTGGTGTTAGCTTCATGCACAGCTGGTTATTGTACTGGGAATGTTCTGCATACGAGTGCAAGCAGTCACAACAAAGCTCAGTGTGGACGATGCTGTGCATGCGCCAATGCTGATTGGTTGGAAAGTGGGCGGGAACAGGGAAGAGAGTGACAGCAGCATTCAGCACAAACATGGAGGATAAAAGAGCATGAGAAACTCAGAGGCTGCAGTGGACACTTTTCATTGTTTTAATGCTCGCTTTCACTTCATCTTTACCAACAACAGCACAAGCAGAGTAGTCTACTGACTGCATGACTGCGACAGCTTGGCTCAGGCGATTAGAGGATCATCAGGGGTCCTTTTGTCCCTCTGTGGGGGGTCACTCCCACTAGGTTTATATCTGGGACTCTCCACCATTTGACCTTAGAACTGAAGAAGCTTCTCGGATGAGAGGTGAAACGTCTTCAAGTAACTTAAAGAAGTCCAGACGCTTTTCTTTGCAAGCTCCTTTGACTATCAAAGCTCAGGAATCAACAGGTACCAACTCCACACTGTTTCTGTTTCACAGATTGCCATGAGCCGTGACCTTTGACCTGTGAGGGCCACGTGTGGGCCACGGGCCATACGTTGAATATCACTTTTTGAAATGTGAAGATTGTTCTGCTACAGTCAATAGACTAAACCAGAGAAGAAAACAAACTTCACCATGAACATCCTTAGAGTGGATCAGTATAATATCAGCCTTATGTCTGCAGTTTAGTGTCAGCACAACTTTCACATCATATTCATCTCAGCACAACTAAAACATGGTTACTGACTTCAGAGTTTCAAGTACACATCCTGGACTCTCCAGAAAACCACACAGCTGCTTCACTCCTGAATCCTGCAGCTGGTCGTTGTCACTCAGGTCCAGCACTCTCAGATGGGAGAGGTTGGACTTAAGCGCTGCTGCCAGATAATCACAGCTCATCTCTGACAAACCACAGTCCTCAAATCTGTATAAAGAATGAAAGATGGAGGTTTATTAGACAAAGTGCGTGCTTGAAATCATTCAGTGTTTCATAATCTGTTCAGAATGTAGAAGTTTAGAAAATGGAAACTCCAAACAGCAGAAGTCAACAGGAAGCAGCTTCAAATAAACACAACAAAAGAAAAAACTTGATTTTTCAAATTGAAATTGTATATTTATCATAAAAACATTAAAAAAAAACTTGAAAAAGTCATGTTTCTCATTCAAGTAACCACAGGCTTCACTTTTAAAGGCGAAGTTGAAAAGAAACTGACATATTACAAGTTCAAAAACACTTTATTTCCAGTCACATTATTAAAGCGGACAAACTACGAGCTCATTTTCATTTCAACAAGTCATCTTCAACCCTGGTCTCTATGTGCAGCTGGCTGTGAGACCAGTGCTCAGGGGGGCGTCTACAAAGCGCACACTGAAAGAACATCACACACCAATTTGCTTCCAGCACTTTCACACAAACATCTACTGTCATTATTTTCACCAAACTCTGTGGAGTCTTTTATTGGAAATTCAAATGTGATTCAAATGGTCAGACAAAAGAGGGTTATGAGGAAAGATGATGAAATGTTGTGTATAAGCAGTTATCGAATCATTTTCCTCATAAACCGAACAACATGACTCACAAACATGTTTTTACAAACTCAGTGTTGGACTTTGATCAGCAGGATAACCCCTGATGTTTCAAAGTTTATGATGATTTCCTTAGTCTTCTCCACATTCAGGGACAGCTTGTTGTTGCTGCAAAACTCAGCCAGATGGTTAACTTCACTCCTGTAGTCGGTCTCATCGTTGTCGCTGATGTGACCTACCACAGTTGTGTCATCTAGAAACTTGATGAAGAGGTTGGAACTGTGTCATGGTGTGCAGTCATGGGTCAGCAGAGGGAAGAGAAGAGGAATCAATAGGTATCCTTGGGGAGCCCCTGTATTCTGTGTTCTTATGCTGGAGATGTTGCTGCCGACCCATACTGTCTGCTGTCCTCCTGTCAGGAAATCTAGCCACCAATTACACTCATCCCCAGCAGATCCAGTTTGTGAATGAGTTGCTGGGGAATGATTGTGTTAAATGCTGAAATGAAGTCTATGAACAGCATTCTAAAGTATAAGTCTCTAGTGTCCATATGTGTGAGGGCTGAGTGAAGGGCAGTTGAAATTGCATCATCAGACAAGCGGTTTGACTGGTATGGGAACTGAAATGGATCAAGGTTGGGGGGAAGAGATGTCTTGATTTGATGCATGACTACCCATTCAAAGCACTTCATAATGATTGAGGTGAGTGCAACCAGTAGTCGTTGAAGCAGGAGGGAGACGACTTCTTTGGTACGGGAATGATGGTGGAGGCTTTGAGACATGTGGGAACGACAGCCTGGCTCAGTGATGCATTAAATATGTCAGTGAATACATCTGAGTTTCACAGATCAGTCCCTCAGCGCTCATACAGGGATGTTGATAGCACCTGAAGCTTCATGTGTGATTCTACCTACGCACTATCTGAGGATAGTGTCACCACCTGTTCATTGGGGGTGTGTGGAAGTCTTCTGTGTGGGGGTGTAATTCTGTGCCTCAAAGCGAGCAAAGAATTACTTCAGCTCATTTGGTAAAGAGGTGGAACTGACGGCGGTCTGCGGTGCAGGCTTGTAGTCACCTCATCCCTGGCTCTGAAGGCCACATTTCTCACCCTCAGAAGCCTGTAGACCTCACCTGTGAGCCATGGTTTCTGATTGGCCCTGACAGTGATAGCCCTGTTCTCTGAGACACCATCCGTGCATTTTGAAATGTAGGCAATGACAGTTTCTGTATATTTCTAAGGTCTAAGTTGTTGTCATGTGCGATGGCCTGTTTAAAGATCTGCCCATCTGTGGCCAAAAACACTCTTGCAGTGCCTCTGAGGACCATTCTGGGCATACACGTACCTGCTTACAAACTGGTGTGGTGACTTTGACCATGGGCCTGGTATTAGCATAACAGTGATGTGATCAGAGGCAACAAGGTTGGGGGCAGGGTGCTTTGTAATCTCCTCTCTGGGTGTGAAAACATGTTGTTTCCTCATGTAGGAAACTTAATGTGTTCATGCAGTTTGGGAAACACAGTCTTTGGGTCTGCATGATTGAAAACACCCGCTAGGATGAGAAAACCATCTGTGTGGACTGTCTGCTGCTCACTGACATGCTGATACAATTCATTTAGTGCCTCACTTCTGTTGTTGATATTGGAGCAGGGAGGGATGTAGACAGCAACAAACAGCATGGCTGAAAATTCCCTCTGGAGGTAAAATGGTCTGTACTTGATGATCATAAGCTCCAGCAGAGGTGAACAGTGTTTTCAGGCCACAACAGCATCACTACACCAAGGATTGTGGATGTAAACACAGAGTCCTCCTCTGCTAGTCTTACCTCTTTTGGCGAGAGATCTGTTTGCTCTAAAGCATATTAGCTGGTCAAGGGGGCCGAATAATTTTGCAAGCCACTGTTAGTCTACATGATCCAGCTTGTTGTCCAGGGAGCGCTCGGAGGACAGTACGATGGTGTGAATAGCAGGTTTCTGTGAATTAGCTGCTAGCTGACTCCACATGCATTCGTCATTACCCCTCTTCTGTTTCCTCTTGTACCAACTGAGACGTTTCTACTGTGGACGAGATCTAGTAGAGGGGGTCACTGATAGGGATGGGTATCGTTTAGGTTTTATCCAATACCAGTACCAAACCGGTACTTCTGAAATGGTGCCGGTACTTAAACGGTGCTCGAACTGGTGCTTAAAGAATGGAGAACACAAACTTTGTCCAAAAACCTCTCATGTTTAGCTGTTTTTTTGTAAAAAGAAAACAATGTTAGCCTTTTCTGCAGCTATGGGGCATATATGGTATCACTCTTGGCTGGAAGCAGTGCTTAATCAATGAAAAAACCAGAAACTTTATCCAAAAACCTCTCATATTTAGCTGTTTCCCACTTTTTCTTTGGTCATTTTAGCTTTTTTGGCCAGGGTGAAGGGAGTATCTGCCATCAAACAAGAAGACAGCTGCATGTAACTACGACAGTGTTTGCTAGTTCACCTTACATGCATTAATGTAATAACGTGGTTAGCCTACTCAGCATAAATTACACACGAACAACATTAAGCTACTCACGCAGAGAAGAACAGCTGTTGCTGCCATCATCATCTGTCATCATTTCTGCTACACTGGCAGGGCTAGGGGCCAGGACTCTACTCTTTGGGTTTTTGGGGGATGTTGCTAACTCTGGGACCGATAACAGGCGCCACACCTGCAGTAGATGTGCCGGTGTGAGGTCTCGCAGCAAGCTATCAAATACGGTGCATTTCTTGGCTTTAAAAAAAACCGATATGCATCACCAGGTGTTTCATCAGATTAGAGGTGTTACCTCCTTTGCACAGTATCACCTTAAAGCACTTGTTGCAGGCTGCTGAGTTTGGATCTTTTGCTGTGAAGTACAGCCAGACTTTTGACCGCTTCGCCTTGAGCGTTCTTAATCTGTAGCTCTGCTCTAAAAGAATGTACATACCTGGGCCCGCCTACTACGCTTGCAAAGGTAAAATGATTGGCTGGAATCCAAAGTATATGACATCACAGGAAAGAAAGCACCGAAATAAAGCACCGAAATGTGCGCTGCTTTTCGGTCTGGTTACTACCGTTTATGTCAGAACCGGTGCCATGATGGCACCGGATACCGGTACCCATCCCTAGTCACTGATGGTGCCTCCAAAGCAGTCTGTAGTTCCTTACTGTAACTTGTAGCTCTTGTTAGAGTTGATTATTTTAATAATAATAATGGATTGGATTTATATAGCGCTTTTAAAGGCACCCAAAGCGCTTTACAATGCCACTATTCATTCACTCTCGCATTCACACACTGGTGGAGGCAAGCTACAGTTGTAGCCACAGCTGCCCTGGGGCAGACTGACAGAAACGAGGCTGCCATATCGCGCCATCGACCCAGTAGGCAGTAGGGTAAACTGCCAAGGACACAACGACCAGGACAGAGAGCCCGGGGATCGAACCGGCGACCTTCCGGTTACAGATACGCTTCCCAACCCCGTGAGCCACGGTCACCCCATGTTCCTTACTGTAACTCGTAGCTCTTGTTAGAGTTGATTATTTTAAGATTGGTATTTGTGCAAAGTCACACGACCATTGCTTGCATTTCTGTTGATAAAATGTTTTTTCCTTATTAGGTCGTAGCTTCTGTACATATATGAGATGCAAGCAGCCTCGTTGCTATAGTTTTCCATTGCACATTTAGAAACCACAAGGTTTTGTTCTTCGAAGGTGCAAGACTGCTCACCTCTTCTTTTTACATGCTTAGTGCACATGTTGATTTGTTAAAAGGTTGCCCTATATGGAGCGACTGGAGATCTTGTGAAAGGTCATGCCATATATGGTGTCAGGAAAAACACACACACAGACGCTGAAGTTGCTCACATATGCTTGCCTTGAATGTATAACCGTTTTCACTCAAATAAAAGGAGCCGTAAGGGGATTGAGGTTTGGAGTTGGGTGAGCTTAGGTGAGGAGTGAATGACTCTCTCAGAGATCCTGGCCGGGATTTCCTTGTGACAAGTAAAAGATAAAAGCACTGTGGTTTTGCTCTGTTTACAAGAATTGGTCTTTGAGACAGCGAGGTCTGTGACTTTAGACCTAACAGCTCTTTCACGTATGAAAAGTTTGTGCAATTTCTTCTGTTGATTTTAAACAAAAAAGAACAAGAAAAACAGGAAAACAAAGATAGGAACACTCTTTTGCCAGGACAAAGAGCAGCTGCTTCTTGTGTCCGCACCGCCATTGGTTAGGAATGACAGCTGTGGATTAATCAGGGTCCCCTCTCTTTGAATTAGGAAAGGTCGGCAGGCCACTCAGCACCCTGTGGAGGGCCAAGTATGAGCCGCCAGCCATACATTCAGTATCACTGTTTCAAAGGTGAAAATTATTACAGTTAAAACATTAAACCCGAGAAGAAGAAAACAGACTATACTATGAAGATCCTCAGTGTGGATCCGTATAATATCAGCCTTATGTCTGCAGTTTAGTGTCAGCACAACTTCGTCATCATATTCATCTCAGCACAACTAAAACATGGTGACTGACCTCAGAATTTCAAGTCCACATCCTGGACTCTCCAGAAAACCACACAGCTGTTTCACTCCTGAATTCTGCAGGTTGTTGTAGCTCAGATCCAGCTGTCTCAGATGGGAGGGGTTGGACTTCATTGCTGCTGCCAGATAATCACAGCTCATCTCTGACAAACCACAGGTCCACAAACTTTATAAAGAATGAAATATGCAAGTTTATTAGAGAAAGTGTGTGCTTGGAATCATTCAGTGTTTCATAATATATTCAGAGCTGAAGAAAGTTCAGAGTGTAGAAGTTTCAAAAATGGAATCTCCAATTAGATAAAGCAAACAGAAAGCAGCTTAAAAAACCCACAATAACAGAAATAAATGTTCAAATTAAAGTTATGCATTTCTAGAAAAAGTATTTTAAAGACAGCGTCGCTATTGATCATCTTCTGTTCAATAAAAATTTGGTTTTCCACATGTGAGTGTTTATGATGCACAAAAGACTGAGTGCAAAGAAGGAGCGAGGATGACAGAGAAATGGTACAAGAGCATCAACACCAGTGAGGAAATTTCCAGAAGGATTTTGGAACCTGTTGGATTAAATCACAAAACCAAGTTGTTACAAAGAAACTCCATCATATTATTGCTTAGCATGTCCCAGGGTTCCTCTGGGATGTTTGGAACTTGTAGAAGTGCAACATTTTCTAATGATTATAGCCTAAAGTCAGAATATGATCCAATCACTAATAATTGATCAACAAATTGATTTACTCTGCCTTACAGAAACCTGGTTGCAGCAGGATGATTATGTTACTCCAAAAGTTAATTCTGCTAATCTGGACGTAGCGTTTTCTGGGGAATCGTTTCGTCACTCATCCAAGTGACTTCTTCAGTCACTTGAAACCACTCCAGACTGAAGAAGTCACTTGGAGGAGTGACGAAACGATTCCCCCAGAAAACGCTACGTCCAGATGAACAGAATCAACTTTTGGAGATTTATTTTCCTGGATGATTGAGAATGCATTAAGACGATGATTATGTTAGTTTAAATGAATCAACACCCCCGAGTCATTCTAACTACCAGAAATCTCGAAGCACAGGCCGAGGGGGCGGTGTGGCAGCAATTTTTCACACCAGACAGACTTTTAATTCATTTCAAAGCCTGATGCTTAACATTGTCCACCCCAGCTGTGAAACTCAGAAACCAGCCTTACTTGTTATCATCTATCATCCACCTGGGCCTTACACAGAGTTTCTCTCTGATTTCTCAGACTTTTTATCTGATTTAGTTCTCAGCTCAGATAAAATAATTATTGTGGGTGATTTTAACATCCATGCAGATGCTAAGAATGACAGCCTCAACATGGCATCTAATCTGTTATTAGACTCAATTGGCTTCTCTCAAAATGTAAAAGAACCCACCCACCACTTTCATCACACTCTAGATCTTGTTTTAACATATGGCATAGAAACTGAACATTTAACAGTGTTTCCTGAAAACCCTCTCCTGTCTGATCATTTCCTGATAACATTTATATTTACAATAATTGATTACACAGCAGTGGAGAGTAGACTTTATCCCAGTAGATGTCTTTCTGAAAGCGCTGTAACTAAGTTTAAGAATATAATCCACCCACTGTTATCATCTTCAATGACCTGTACCTAGAGCAGAGCAGCTATCTGAACGCTACCCCAGCAGAGGTCAATTATCTTGTCAATAATTTTACCTCCTCACTAGGGGTGGGCTATATAAACGATATACGATAGAAACTATATAAATTTGGCCAACGATAGAGATTTTGAATATACTGCTCTATAGCGTTAGCGCATGTTGATGTCATCAAGCTGTGCCTGTTTTGGTCGAAAGCATCGCAGCGGCTACAACCATTATCATCTGCAAATTATCCCGGGCGACAGTCATAGCAAAGAGATGAAGCACTTTTGAAATATGGGGAAAGCCAAAAACTGCACTTCCTCCACTTCCGTAACATTGATTCATTAATGTTGAATTCTCTGGCAGCTGTTTTATTACCATGTTGTTGCAGTATATTAATAACTAACCTCGTATTGTGGATGAATAATCACAGTGGTTCTCCTCACTGAAGTTTGCACCGTGTATAGAATCCTGCTATACGATTGCATTTGTCCCTAACCACCAGAATCCCTCGCGTTAACTTTTCTCGAGTGGAAAAAAAAGTTGCCGTTCATCCTCCAGCTTCACTGTGCTAATGTTATGCTAACATAGCTGTGTCGCTAATCACGTAGCACAACATTTTATACCAAGTAGTCCAACTTCAGTAACCCTACAAACGCCACTGCTGTGTAGTTTTCTGTCTTCATTTATGTGGAAAGTGGTAGCAGAGGCCTCAAATCAGAAGTACCTGACTCCGTGGTATAGTTCTCAAACACGTACCCTAAAGCAGATGACTCGTAAGCTGGAGAGGAAATGGCGTGTCACATATTTAGAGGATCATCATTTAGCCTGGAGAAATAGTTTGCTGCTTTATAAGAAAGCCCTCCACAAAGCCAGAACATCTTACTATTCGTCACTGATTGAAGAAAATAAGAACCACCCCAGGTTTCTCTTCAGCACTGTAGCCAGGCTGACAAAAAGTCAGAGCTCTGTTGAGCCAACCATCCCTTTAACGTTAACTAGTAATGACTTCATGAACTTCTTCACAACTAAAATTTTTATCATTAGAGAAAAAAATACCAATAATCATCCCACAGATGTAATATTATCTAAAGCTACTTTTAGTACCATTGATGTTAAGTTAGACTCTTTTTCTCCAATTGATCTTTCTGAGTTAACTTCAATAATTACTTCTTCCAAACCATCAATGTGTCTTTTAGACCCCATTCCTACAAAATTGCTCAAAGAAGTCCTGCCATTAATTAATGCTTTAATCTTAAATATGATCAACCTATCTCTAATAATCGGCTATGTACCACAGGCCTTCAAGCTGGCTGTAGTTAAACCTTTACTCAAAAAGCCATCTCTAGACCCAGCAGTCTTAGCTAATTATAGGCCAATCTCCAACCTTCCTTTCATATCAAAAATCCTTGAAAGAGTAGTTGTCAAACAGCTAACAGATCATCTGCAGAGGAATGGCTTATTTGAAGAGTTTCAGTCAGGTTTCAGAGCTCATCACAGCACAGAAACAGCTTTAGTGAAGGTTACAAATGATCGTCTTATGGCCTCTGACAGTGGACTCATCTCTGTGCTTGTCCTGCTAGACCTCAGTGCAGCGTTCGATACTGTTCGACCATAATATCCTATTAGAGCAATTAGAACATGCTGTAGGTATTACAGGTACTGCACTGCAGTGGTTTGTATCATACAGTGGGGCAAAAAAGTATTTAGTCAGCCACCAATTGTGCATGTTCCCCCACTTAAAATGATGACAGAAGTCAGTAATTTGCACCAGAGGTACACTTCAACTGTGAGAGACAGAATGTGAAAAAAAAATCCATGAATTCACATGGTAGGATTTGTAAAGAATTTATTCGTAAATTAGGGTGGAAAATAAGTATTTGGTCACCTCAAACATGGAAAATCTCTGGCTCTCACAGACCTGTAACGTCTTCTGTAAGACGCTTTTCTGTCCCCCACTCGTTACCTGTATGAATGGCACCTGTTTGAACTCATCATCTGTATAAAAGACACCTGTCCACAGCCTCAAACAGTCAGACTCCAAACTCCGCCATGGCCAAGACCAAAGAGCTTTCGAAGGACACTAGGAAAAGTATTGTAGACCTGCACCAGACTGGGAAGAGTGAATCTACAATAGGCAAGCAGCTTGGTGTGAAAAAAATCAACTGTGGGAGCAATTATCAGAAAATGGAAGACATACAAGACCACTGATAATCTCCCACCATCTGGGGCTCCACGCAAGATCTCATCCCGTGGGGTCAAAATGATCATGAGAACGGTGAGCAAAGATCCCAGAACCACACGGGGGGACCTGGTGAATGACCTGCAGAGAGCTGGGACCAAAGTAACAAAGGTCACCATCAGTAACACACTACAACGACAGGGAATCAAATCCCGCAGTGCCAGACGTGTTCCGCTGCTGAAGCCAGTGCATGTCCAGGCCCGTCTGAAGTTTGCCAGAGAGCACATGGATGATACAGCAGAGGATTGGGAGAATGTCATGTGGTCAGATGAAACCAAAGTAGAACTTTTTGGTATAAACTCAACTCGTCGTGTTTGGAGGAAGAAGAATACTGAGTTGCATCCCAAGCACAACATACCTACTGTGAAGCATGGGGGTGGAAAAATCATGCTATGGGGCTGTTTTTCTGCCAAGGGGACAGGACGACTGATCCGTGTTAAGGACAGAATGAATGGGACCATGTATCGTGAGATTTTGAGCCGAAACCTCCTTCCATCAGTGAGAACTTTGAAAATTGAAACGAGGCTGGGTCTTCCAACATGACAATGATCCAAAACACACCGCCCGGGCAACAAAGAAGTGGCTCCGTAAGAAGCATTTGAAAGTCCTGGAGTGGCCTAGCCAGTCTCCAGACCTCAACCCCATAGAAAATCTGTGGCAGGAGTTGAAAGTCCGTGTTGCTCAGCGACAGCCCCAAAACATCACTGCTCTCGAGGAGATCTGCATGGAGGAATGGGCCAAAATACCAGCTACTGTGTGTGCAAACCTGGTAAAGACCTATAGTAAACGTTTGACCTCTGTTATTGCCAACAAAGGTTATGTTACAAAGTATTGAGATGTATTTTTGTTATTGACCAAATACTTATTTTCCACCCTGATTTACGAATAAATTCTTTACAAATCCTACCATGTGGATTCATGGATTTTTTTTTTTCACATTCTGTCTCTCACAGTTGAAGTGTACCTCTGGTGCAAATTACTGACCTCTGTCATCCTTTTAGGTGGGGGAACTTGCACAATCGGTGGCTGACTAAATACTTTTTTGCCCCACTGTATCTATCTAATAGACTCCAATGTGTACATGTAAATGGAGAGTCCTCTTCACACACTGAGGTTAATTATGGAGTTCCACAGGGTTCAGTGTTAGAACCAATTCTGTTTACATTATACATGCTTCCCTTAGGCAGCATCATTAGAAGACATAGCATACATTTTCACTGCTATGCAGATGACACCCAGCTCTATCTGTCCATGAAGCCACATAACACACACCAATTAGTTAAACTGCAGGAATGTCTTAAAGACATAAAGACCTGGATGGCCGCTAACTTTCTGCTTCTTAGTTCAGATAAAACTGAGGTTATTGTACTCGGCCCTGAAAATCTTAGAAATATGGTATCTAACCAGATTCTTACTGTGGATGGCATTACCTTGGCCTCCAGTAACACTGTGAGGAACCTTGGAGTCATTTTTTACCAGGATATGTCCTTTAACGCACATATTAAACAGATATGCAAGAATGCTTTCTTTTATTTGCGCAACATCTCTAAAATTAGAAATATCCTGTCTCAGAGTGACGCTGAAAAAACTAGTTCATGCATTTATTACTTCCAGGCTGGACGACTGTAATTCATTATTATCAGGAAGTCCTAAAAACTCCCTGAAAAGCCTTCAGCTAATCCAAAATGCTGCAGCAAGAGTGCTGACAGGGACTAGAAAGAGAGAGCAGATTTCTCCTGTTTTGGCTTCCCTTCATTGGCTTCCTGTTAAATCCAGAATTGAATTCAAAATCCTGCTCCTCACATACAAGGTCTTAAATAATCAGGCCCCATCTTATCTTAATGACCTTGTAGTACCATATCACCCTATTAGAGCACTTCGCTCTCGCTCTGCAGGCCTACCTGTTGTTCTTAGAGTATTTAAAAGTAGAATGGGAGGCAGAGCCTTCAGTTTTCAGGCCCCTCTTCTGTGGAACCAGCTTCCAGTTTGGATTCAGGAGACAGATACTATCTCTACTTTCAAGATTAGGCTTAAAACTTTCCCTTTTGCTAAAGCATATAGTTAGGGCTGGACCATGTGACCCTGAATCCTCCCTTAGTTATGCTGCAATAGACGTAGGCTGCCGGGGATTCCTATGATGCATTGAGTTTTTCCTTCCCAGTCACCTTTCTCACTCCGTATGTGTTAATACACCTCTCTGCATCGAATCATATCTGTTATTAATCTCTTTCTCTCTTCCACAGCATGTCTTTATCCTGTTTTCCTTCTCTCACCCGAACCAGTCACAGGAGGTTTCTTCCTGTTAAAAGGGAGTTTTTCTTTCCCACTGTCACCAAAGTGCTTGCTCACAGGGGGTCATATGATTGTTGGGTTTTTCTCTGTATCTATTATTGTGCGATCTGCTGTACAATATAAAGTGTCTTGAGGCGACTTTTGTTGTGATTTGCCGCTATATAAATAAAATTGAATTGACTTGAATCACTTCGACATACAGGGAGTGCAGAATTATTAGGCAAATGAGTATTTTGTCCACATCATCCTCTTCATGCATGTTGTCTTACTTCAAGCTGTATAGGCTCGAAAGCCTACTACCAATTAAGCATATTAGGTAATGTGCATCTCTGTAATGAGAAGGGGTGTGGTCTAATGACATCAACACCCTATATCAGGTGTGCAAAATTATTAGGCAACGTCCTTTCCTTTGGCAAAACGGGTCAAAAGAAGGACTTGACAGGCTCAGAAAAGTCAAAAATAGTGAGATATCTTGCAGAGGGATGCAGCAAAATTGCAAAGCTTCTGAAGCGTGATCATCGAACAATCAAGCGTTTCATTCAAAATAGTCAACAGGGTCGCAAGAAGCGTGTGGAAAAACCAAGGCGCAAAATAACTACCCATGAACTGAGAAAAGTCAAGCGTGCAGCCGCCAAGATGCCACTTGCCACCAGTTTGGCCATATTTCAGAGCTGCAACATCACTGGAGTGCCCAACAGCACAAGGTGTGCAATACTCAGAGACATGGCCAAGGTAAGAAAGGCTGAAAGACGACCACCACTGAACAAGACACACAAGCTGAAACGTCAAGACTGGGCCAAGAAATATCTCAAGACTGATTTTTCTAAGGTTTCATTGGACTGATGAAATGAGAGTGAGTCTTGATGGGCCAGATGGATGGGCCCGTGGCTGGATTGGTAAAGGGCAGAGAGGAAGAAGGAAGAAGTCTGCATCCTTCAAGAAAAACGTGATTTTCATGCAGGACAATGCTCCATCACATGCGTCCAAGTACTCCACAGCGTGGCTGGCAAGAAAGGGTATAAAAGAAGAAAAACTAATGACATGGCCTCCTTGTTCACCTGATCTGAACCCCATTGAGAACCTGTGGTCCATCATCAAATGTGAGATTTACAAGGAGGGAAAACAGTACACCTCTCTGAACAGTGTCTGGGAGGCTGTGGTTGCTGCTGCACGCAATGTTGATGGTGAACAGATCAAAACACTGACAGAATCCATGGATGGCAGGCGTTTGAGTGTCCTTGCAAAGAAAGGTGGCTATACTGGTCGCTGATTTGTTTTTGTTTTGTTTTTGAATGTCAGAAATGTATATTTGTGAATGTGGAGATGTTATATTGGTTTCACTGGTAAAAATAAATAATTGAAATGGGTATATATTTGTTTTTTGTTAAGTTGCCTAATAATTCTGCACAGTAATAGTCACCTGCACACACAGATATCCCCCTAAAATAGCTAAAACTAAAAACAAACTAAAAACAACTTCCAAAAACATTCAGCTTTGATATTAATGAGTTTTTTGGGTTCATTGAGAACATGGTTGTTGTTCAATAATAAAATTATTCCTCAAAAATACAACTTGCCTAATAATTCTGCACTCCCTGTATAAATGGTAAATGGCCTGTATTTGTATAGCACTTTACACTACATTCAGTCATCCACCCATTCACACATACATTCACAGACCGGTGATGGCAAGCTACATCAACACATGTTTAAACATGGTTGTAATCAAACTGCATCAGATTATTGGTGATCAACAGAAATCCTTGGGCTCAGCTCCACAAAGATTTCCAGTTTGTTTACTGTTAATGCAACATGTACAGCAGGTCCTGAGAAACATTAGCAGTATGACAGCTGAGTGTCACCACCTTCTTCTCATTCATCACACTTTGTTTTCATTCATGTCCTCCTCATTTTTACTTTTTAACATTATTACAGTTCAGTCACAGATTCACTCAAACACATGATCATGATTCATGCAGATTTGAGGAGCACACATCTGTTAGCTGTTCTTTCTTTCATGGTTAAGCTTGTACACTGATCTACAGCTGACTGACACTCTGAGTCATTTCCTCATTCATAAAGTCAAAGCTCGGTGGAGAGTGTACATCTGCACAAATTTACCTTGTTACAAAAGCAGAAATCCCAGTTAAACATTGGTTTGCTAAACATAAAGCTTTTACGGCCAATCAGTCATCAATATATCAGGATGGGGACGGCAATGACATCACAGATTTACCATAAGATCAGAATAAAATCTATGACCTCCATCTTTTTAACTCTGAGACTCTTTGGATAGTGTGTTGATATCAGATTGGAAGTTTCCTGCACTGCAAACATTGACTGTGTTACACACTGATCAGTGATAAGTCATTGTTTGATTGGAATCAATCACACTGATCGATTCATCTGATCAAAGTTCAAGCTGCTCAATGATAAGCATAGACATTATAATAAATGATGGATTTTGTATAAACTTTATTGAGTCTATGATGATGACCAAGTGACCCACACTGATTCAAACTCTTCTTCCTCCTGTTTTTATATCACTCTCAGCACTGACACGTCTTCATATTCCTGCTCCTCTGGATTCACACAGAGCTTTTGCTATTTATTTACCCGTTGCCATTGTGAATCATAGTGTCGGACTCCGTGACTCAGACTGAGCATGCTCAGAGCTGATTGACCTGACTCTGATCAGCTCATCTGCAACAGGAAGGTACTTCCTGGAAAATAGCTTATTATCTAATACGAGCTGATTATTGTTATTAATGCCTTATTCTCGTCACAGAGCACTGCACTTTCAGACTGCAGGCTTACTTGTGCTTCCTGGGATAATAAAAATTAGAAGTTTAAATGTCTTTCTAATAAAAAGCTTTAAAAATAAATGCTTGTTTTTTTTAACTGTTGCTGGATCACTGATTTCACACTGTTGCAGTCAAAGGTGGAAATCATTCACAAGTAAACTTCATATTCACCAAAACGCAGTGTGATGTCATTAGGAAATGTCTCAGCCTCCAGCTTACAAGAAAGCATCTGACTACCCGACCGGGTAGCATTACCCATCATGCCGTGCAGCAGTGTCAGTTTGTAAATGTGCAATAATTCCTGCTCCAGGAATTACAGTATTTCACAGATGCTTTCTGCTGTGAACTTTGACCTGCTAAAGAGAGTCGGCTGTGGATTATTCATTTTTGTGTCTCATACTTAGACCTGTGAATAAGAACGCTACACAGTTAACCAGGGTCCCCTCTCTCTGAATTAGGAAAGGTCAGCAAGCCATGTGTGGGCCACGGGCCATACATTGAGTATCACTGTTTAAATGTGAACATTGCTCTGCTACAGTCAATGCACTAAATCAGAGAGGAAGAAAACAGACTTTACCATGAAAATCCTCCAGTATATACTCCTGCTAGTATAACATCAGTCTGATGTCTGCAGTTTAGTGTCAGCACAACTTTCACATCATATACATCTCAGCACAACTAAAACATAGAGACTGACCTCAGAATTTCAAGTCCACATCCTGGACTCTCCAGAAAACCACACAGCTGCTTCACTTCTGAATCCTGCAGGTTGTTCATGCTCAGGTCCAGCTCTCTCAGATGGGAGAGGTTGGACTTCAGCACTGCTGCCAGATAATCACAGTTCATCTCTGACAAACCACAGATCCTCAACCTGTATAAAGAATAAAAGATGTAGGTTTATTAGACAAAGTGTGTGCTTGAAATCATTCAGTGCTATTCAGAGCTGAAGAAGTTTCAGAATGTAGAAGTTTAGAAAACGGTAACTTCAAACAGCTGAAGCCAACAGGAAGCAGCTTCAAACAAACACAACAAGAGAAAAACCATTAAAGTTTTACTTTTCTAACAAGAGTATTTTAAAGACAGCGTCACTGATGATCATCTTCTGTTCAGCAAATCTTTGGATGACCTTTCTGTCTTTATGTTCATCATTGACGCTGTAACTCTGTGACTGTCCTGGGACTGTCACCAGTATTGTTACATCCTTTTTTCCTGAATTTCCACAGCTCTTATAACAGCAGTGTACATTAACCTGCAGGCACACACTGCCTCTGCTTCAGCACTGTTTATGATGCACAAACTGCAGGAACCAAACTCATACTGGCTTATTTGAATCATGTCTGTTTACAAAGACACTTTGAGGCTTTTATCAGTGTGTTTCCTGTCCTACTAGGAGTGATCAAACTGTTCTGGATCAGTAAGGGATGGTTTCCAGCCAAAGAAAGACCAACACTGTACTTCTTGTGCATTTATGGCAGGAACATCAGCGCTGTATCATTGGAACAACACAACACGCCCGATGAACAATGAGGACAAAGAAAAGGTGAGCAAGAAGACCATGGTGGTGTAGAAAGACCGGTAGGGGCTCCAAGACTGAGGAACAGAGACATCAGACTGAGTACCAGCTGAAGGTGCTGCAGTGATTCGGGGAGCTCATTCCAGTCTGAGGCTATACCGTGTGAAATACGTAGACCACAGTTTCTTCACCGACTTCAGCCAAATGAACATCTGGAGATCCATCAGTGCAGGAGCGAGTGATGAGCCATTTTATCATATACACAGATTCTCTCATCAGCTGCTCTAATGTGAGTGCACTGCTTGAATCTGCTTGAGCAGCAGTATATTGCTTGTGTTGTTCCTTTCTAATCAAAGATATGGGACTGAGCCACAGCAGCTCTTTATCCTGTTCTTCACTCTCATTGGTTCTTTGTGCGCTTGCTTTTAGAATAGTAGTCATTCTTATGGTTAAAAGAAGACAATCGGTTGTGACTAACACTTAGCCCCTTTAATATGATCCAGCCCAGGCTGCTGAGGGAGAAGTTGGAGGACATGCAGGCGGAGGTTCCACTGGTCCAGTGGATCAGCGACTGCCTGGCGGGATGACCACAGTTTCTGAGACTGCAGAGCTGTGGTCAGAGAGCCTGAACAACAACATAGGATCACTCCATAGAACTGCGCTGTGCACTTTCCTCTTCACCATCTATATGGCCAACTTCAAGTACATCACAGAAATTTGTCTCCTCCAGAAATTCTCTGATGACATGGCCATTATTGAAACCATGGAAATGGGACGAGAAGAGGAGTACAGTAGACTGATTGGTCGCTTCGTGGTGTGAGGAGAAACACCTGCAGCAGAATGTGGCCAAAGAAAGGAGCTGGTGGTGGACTTCAGCAGAAACAGATCCCGACCCTCCTCTGTCTGCATTTGTGGGACTGACTTTGAAATAGTCACATCCTACAAATACCTGGGAGTTCAACTGAATCACAAGCTGGAGTGGTCTGCCAACAGAGACAATACCTTCAAAAAAGGTCTGAGCCCGCTTTACTTTCTATGAAGGCTCAGATTCATCAATGTATGCAGCAGACTGCTCTTTGTTTTATCAGTCTGTTGTTGAGAGTACCATCTTCTTTGCTGTGGCAGAAAGAAGGAGCACGAGAAGCTGCAGAAGTAGCAAGGGCTCAGAGAAGAGCTTGAGAAGACGTGGAGGGAGAAGGTCTGCAAAGGCGAGTGAGGAATTAGTTTTAATATAAATCTTTATCTGTTTAGTGTGGAACAGTCTTTCAAACAGTGATCTTATGAAACACAGTCCCAGTTAAAATGTGTTGTTTCAAGTAAAACATGACTTATACTGCTCTGCTGCAGTTTATGACATCTTTTGTCCCAGTTGTTAAAATAGAAAAAGGCAGCCTACTGGACATTTAACACAGGGGCTTAACTGTGTCTAAAAACAGACCTTCAGTACAAATGTATTTTGGAGCAGTGTGTGAATAAAAAGTCCCCCAGTTGTAAACCCCTTCCTGACACTATGACACCCCCCTCCTCCAATCCCTCTCTCAGCAGCAAGACATCTTCTTCTCCCCCTTCCTCCCAAACATCTCCCAGTGTCACAGTGGATCAGGTCAGGAGACAACTGAGGAAGCTTCGCCCCAGAAAGGCAGCAGGCCCAGACAAGGTGTGTCCCAGGATGCTAAAGGCGTGTGCTGCTGAACTTGGGGAGCCGCTACAACGAGTCTTCAATCTCAGTCTGCGACTGGGGAGAGTGCCCGCCCTATGGAAGACATCCTGCATCGTCCCGGTCCCCAAAAAGAACCGGCCCAATGAGCTGAATGACTTCCGACCGGTGGCACTGACGTCACATGTTATGAATACTCTAGAGCGGCTCTTCCTCAACCTCCTCCGACCACAGGTACAACATGCCCAGGACCCACTACAGTTTGCATACAAGGCAGATGTTGGAGTGGAGGATGCCATCCTGTACCTCCTGCATAGAGCCCACTCACACCTGGATGGGGGAAAAGGCACGGTCAGGATCCTGTTTCTTGACTTTTCCAGTGCCTTTAATACCATCCGGCCCTGTATGCTTCAGGAAAAACTGAACAGGATGGAGGTGGACCCCTGCCTGGTGGCTTGGATCTCCGACTACCTCACCGACTACCTCACAGTACGTCAGGCTGAAGGACATCATGTCTGACACTGTGGTCAGCAGCACAGGAGCACCACAGGGAACTGTGCTGTCCCCTCTTCTCTTCACCCTGTACACCTCTGACTTCTGCTACAACTCTGAATTATGCCACATTCAGAAGTTTGCAGATGACACGGCCATCATGGGGTGTATCTGGGATGATCAGGAAGAGGAGTACAGAGGTCTGGTGAGGAACTTTGTCGCATGGAGTCACACAAACCACCTGCAACTCAACACCTCAAAGACTAAGGAACTGGTTGTGGACTTCGGGAGGTCCAGAGAAGGTCCACTGCCGGTTCAGATAGAGGGGGAGGAGGTGGAGGTGGTCAACAAGTACAAGTACCTCGGGCTGTGGGTGGACAATAAACTGGACTGGTCATGCAACACAGAGCACCTGTATAAAAAAGCCCAAAGCCGACTGTACTTCCTCAGGAGGCTGAGGTCTTTTAACATCTGCAGGAAGCTCCTGAGGATGTTTTACCAGTCAGTGGTTGCTGGAGTACTTTTCTATGCTGTGGTGTGCTGGGGGAGCAGCACAGCAGAGGAGGACTCATCCAGGCTGGAGAAACTGATCAGGAAGGCTGGCTCTGTGGTCGGCATGAAGCTGGACACTCCGGTGACAGTGGCAGAGAAAAGGACATTAAAGAAACTGCTGGACATTATGAACAATGCTGGGCATCGTCTGCACACGGCCATTAACAACCAGAGGAGTCTGTTCAGTGACAGGTTGCTTCTCCCCAAGACAAGAACCAACAGACTTAAAAACTCCTTTGTCCCACACGCCATCAAACTGTTTAACTCCTCTCTGGAGGGGAGAGGGAGGGGAGACAGGAGGACAAAGGAGGGGGGAACAACTAAGCTGTAGTGCCTCTTCAACGGTGCAATAGACTCCATACTTGAAATGTGCAATTCACTTGTATTTTTTATTTTTATTCCTATTTATTCTATTTATCCCCTTCGTATATTTTATTTATATTTGTCTCTGTATTTATATATGTGTGTGTGTGTGTGTGTGTGTGTGTGTGTGTATATAATATTCTGTAACTTCTGTCGGTGCTGTCCTTTTGGAAACCGAATTTCCCAGATGAACCCACCCGAGGGATTAATAGAGTTTTATCTTATCTTAAACAAAAACTCTGATCACAACAGTAGCAGTGATGATGACGCTGGTACAGTTTAACTCGGAAACTTAGTCTGTTTACACAAACTGAGAAAAGAGGTTGTAACTGAAATAATGCACTAAGATTGAGTGTATCATAAGATATGAAGTCCAAGCTTTACCTTTGAATTGGATACAATTATGGCAGCCATAACAAATAAAAGAGGCACTGGACTCAAGATTAGTTTCAAACCAAGTCACGACTAAAACATCAGAAGTGCTGTGAAACAGAATTTGCCCCATCCTAATTTCTTTTTGATCATTTGTTACATGTTGTTTTTGTTTGTGTGTTGCTAGTAATACTGACTCAAGCTTTCCAAAACTGCGGTTCAGGGCAATTAACTTTTCATATAGGGGCAAAAGTCCTCACGCTGATGTGAAAGACTCATTGAAATTTATTGCAAATGTAGTTCTTGTTGCCATGTGTGACAGAGCCAATTATGTAAAGGCGCAGGGTAGGTTTGGTTAGCTTTTTCCCCACCTTAAAAAAAAGGAAATCATCACTTACAAACCTCTTTTTGTATTTAATCAGCATCTCTTTCTCTAATATTAAAATTTGTTTGATGATCTATAACATACAATTATGAGAAATATGCAAAATAAATAGAAACCCTAACCCTTGGTGGATTAGTGTAGTACAGATGAATAACAGATGTGTAATTTTATCAAAATTCACAGAGTGCTTCACATCTGCCCTCTCTGATTGTTTGGAAACACTTTGCATATTTAATGAATATTTGAAAGTTTTACATCTGAAGGTAAAATATGGTTTTGTTCCCTGTGATTAAATCTGAGCATCAGTACAGTGTTGTCCTGATGGAGGTGTCATTAACAGCAGCCAGTATGATCCAGGCTTTAGCTGCTGGGTCCCTGTGTGACCTCTCAGACTGTTTAACAGATCAGACACAAAGAGAATCAGAGACAGAGCAGCTCTGTTCTTTAAAGACAAACATGAACCCACTCAGTACACACTTTCCCCAGAGATATGAGCATCACTGTCCTCAAACAGCAAACGACTGAGTCTAATATTTTTACCTTTGTTGTTTCATTGTTTTCTTTTTAATGAATCTTTGTAAAAATCTAAGGATGTTTCAGGTCATATTTATCCAGGAAAACACAAACATCTAAAGAAGCTCATGACAGGTCTCTGACCTAGTTTGTCCAGGTTCAGCACTGAAGTCTGGAGGTTGAGGTTTGGACCTGTCACTCCTCATAGATGGACAGCTGGCTCCTGCAGACTCTGCTCTGTTCTCCTCGTCCTCCATCATCATCTTCTTGCGGACTTCAGTCAGTCTGAGAGGTAAACCACAAACACTCAGTGAGTTCACATTAACAGAAGTAACTGAATTAAAGTCGCTGACCTCTGACCTGTCATGTAACCTAAAAACCAGGTCACATGGTCCACATCAGGGATCACAGAAACCTGATCTTACCTGCAGAACATTAGGAACAGCTCTGAGTCAGATGCAGTCAGCTCTCTGCAAACTCCAACCTCCGTATAAAACTATATTAAAAGCTCTTTTATGGCCATGCAGACACTTTAAGATCACATGATGTTCACACATGATTTCTGTGACTGTCGTAGTTTAACATGTTAACTCCGTACATGTAACATTCATGTTGATGCAGATCTCAGCTCCACATCAGCTCTGCTGAATAGTCTAAAGTTTCTCTGACACAATGAATTCAAACAGTCTGAGGAAACAAGGATGAACTTAAAGCTCTGACTTTATTGCTAGAGACGTATGAATCAAATGTTTAATCCACATTTGGACTATTTTGTCTCCTCAGTTTGAGCTGAAGAGATTTTTTTTTGTTGAAGTGCTCAAAATCTATGTTTCCTTTTAATAATGTTTATTTCCCTCGTGTCTTTAAGAGCTCTTATCATTAACTTAGCGTTAGCGCTCTGCAGGTCTCTGCTGTGTAAATACTAATCACAGTGACAGTAAAGGAGGTAAAGGCCATAAATAAACACTGCAGCTGAGCTGTGACGTCATCACGTAGGCTGCGATCTCGGAGTCTGCGGACTCTGGCTGTGTCCCAATTAAGAGACTGCACGCTTGAAGTACGCATTCCAAGTGCGGTTACGTCACCGCCACGCGACGACGGCTGTCCCAAATCGAAGTGTGCTTCAAATGCATACTCCAAATGCGCCGTCGATCTCCCCAAATATCAAGCGTGGTCCGGTGCACGCTTCGTGGTCCCATATATTCATAGCGCGGCGGTGGGTGCCGCAAAATACGGCAGAAGGGAGCGGCCGAAGTGGTTGTTTTTTTCTTTTTCCAAACTTTATTGAAATCATAACGCGAACAGTCAGTCATTCCAGTTCAGTTTGTACAGTAGACATACAAGGCAAATAAGAGTGACAATATACAGCACAATGAAATAAGAAGGATAAATAAATAAAGGAGAAAAAAAAAGAAAAAAGGGGGAATGTGACAGACTTCATAACAACTTTGTACTTGAAAGTTGTGACAGCTCATTCGCTAAACATTTCTGAATGAATTTCAATCAATGATAAACCTTTTTTATTGGAAGTTAATTTAAGAGAGTTTAAGTAATATTCAATTTCAATCAAAAACAAATTAAATGATGGGGTTGAGTTTTGAAATTTACATTTATGTATGTGGAACTTCCCTAATAAGATGGAGCGGCCGAAGAGTGACTGTCAAAAGTACTGAATATGACGTCACTTATTTATGTGCGAATGTTTAATAATTAAAGTCAGTCATATATCCACAAACACAACAAGCTGAAAGTCAGTGATACAGTGGGGCAAAAAAGTATTTAGTCAGCAAAAGAATTTTGCAAGTTCCCCCACTTAAAATGATGACAGAGGTCAGTAATTTGCACCAGAGGTACACTTCAACTGTGAGAGACAGAATGTGAAAAAAATATCCATGAATTCACATGGTAGGATTTGTAAAGAATTTATTCGTAAATTAGGGTGGAAAATAAGTATTTGGTCACCTCAAACATGGAAAATCTCTGGCTCTCACAGACCTGTAACGTCTTCTGTAAGACGCTTTTCTGTCCCCCACTCGTTACCTGTATGAATGGCACCTGTTTGAACTCATCATCTGTATAAAAGACACCTGTCCACAGCCTCAAACAGTCAGACTCCAAACTCCGCCATGGCCAAGACCAAAGAGCTTTCGAAGGACACCAGGAAAAGTATTGTAGACCTGCACCAGACTGGGAAGAGTGAATCTACAATAGGCAAGCAGCTTGGTGTGAAAAAATCAACTGTGGGAGCAATCATCAGAAAATGGAAGACATACAAGACCACTGATAATCTCCCACCATCTGGGGCTCCACGCAAGATCTCATCCCGTGGGGTCAAAATGATCATGAGAACGGTGAGCAAAGATCCCAGAACCACACGGGGGGACCTGGTGAATGACCTGCAGAGAGCTGGGACCAAAGTAACAAAGGTCACCATCAGTAACACACTACAACGGCAGGGAATCAAATCCCGCAGTGCCAGACGTGTTCCGCTGCTGAAGCCAGTGCATGTCCAGGCCTGTCTGAAGTTTGCCAGAGAGCACATGGATGATACAGCAGAGGATTGGGAGAATGTCATGTGGTCAGATGAAACCAAAGTAGAACTTTTTGGTATAAACTCAACTCGTCGTGTTTGGAGGACGAAGAATACTGAGTTGCATCCCAAGAACACCATACCTACTGTGAAGCATGGGGGTGGAAACATCATGCTATGGGGCTGTTTTTCTGCCAAGGGGACAGGACGACTGATCCGTGTTAAGGACAGAATGAATGAGGCCATGTATCGTGAGATTTTGAGCCAAAACCTCCTTCCATCAGTGAGAACTTTGAAGATGAAACGAGGCTGGGTCTTCCAACATGACAATGATCCAAAACACACCGCCCGGGCAACAAAGGAGTGGCTCCGTAAGAAGCATTTGAAAGTCCTGGAGTGGCCTAGCCAGTCTCCAGACCTCAACCCCATAGAAAATCTGTGGCGGGAGTTGAAAGTCCGTGTTGCTCGGCGACAGCCCCAAAACATCACTGCTCTCGAGAAGATCTGCATGGAGGAATGGGCCAAAATACCAGCTACTGTGTGTGCAAACCTGGGCCCTGTGCTTCGTACGTCACTTACTACATCCAAGATCAAATGAAACATCCAAGACCAAATCATCGCGCTAACTCTGAGCTCGCTATTCCGGTTCCCCGAACACACCTGTTGTTGACGATTAGTATAGCTGGATGAAGTAATGTGAGATCACTGGGTGCCGTAAAAGGGGATACGCATCGATAGCAGAAACAGTGATCGGCAACCCGCTGATTGGTTGGCGAAAATGGCGAAGGGGCGCGCTCGGTATTTTTCGGCAGCAGAGCAAGAACTCTTGAGTGAGGGATTTCAGGAGTTTCAGAGTTTAATTAAAACGCAAGGGAACACTGCAAAGGCTGCAAAAGCAAGGAGAGAGGGCTGGCAGAAAGTTGCTGACAAATCAAACTCGTAAGTAATCCAATAATAACAATAATAATGGAGTGGATTTATATAGCGCTTTTCAAGGCACCCAAAGCGCTTTACAATGCCACTATTCACTCACTCCCACATTCACACACTGGTGGAGGCAAGCTACGGTTGTAGCCACAGCTGCCCTGGGGCAGACTGACAGAAGCCAGGCTGCCATATTGCGCCATCGGCCCCTCTGGCCAACACCAGTAGGCGGTAGGGTAGATTTATCATATCACACCATATTATCCAATATTATATTACATTATATTATATTATAATATGTTATATTATATCCCCTTTCACATTAGAGCCACAACAGGACCCACTAGAACATGGGAACAAGTAAAAGTGAAATATAAGAATATTCTACAGAATGGTAATATTTATCACTTATATTGCTTTTCGTCTCTTGGAAAGAGACCCTGGAATACTCTGTTTGTTTGTTCATAACAGCAACCAAGAAAAGGGCAGAGCAAAAAAAAAGACAGGTGGTGGTCCTGCACCCCCTCGTCAACAAGTTGGTTAAGTGAATAATACCCTCACGGGAAAATCGATATCTCTCTATGAGCACACTGTCGCGCTGAGCTAAAGGATCCTGTCTGTCCCGCAATATACGCTGAATTCTGAGGACTCTCCTTATCAATCTTGCACCTTCCGCAATGGGTTGCTCGCGTAAACGGACAGGACATGGCTGCGACAGACTTCCCAAATCCACCTTCGCTTTTATAGCCGTGGTCTCTCATCTTGATTACACGAAGTAATTTACAATTACTACTCTGAAATATGAATTACATCTGTAATAATCACATACATGTAACAGAATGTTAATAGTATATTTCCCTTTTTTAGGGAATGACCTGTATGTATCTGTGTGACATCAATAAATGGATCAGGTGCTGCATTGTCTTTAGTTACATTGATGTTATTTATTTATGGTGAAACAGTGGTGGAATATCGCTGTTGCTTTCGTATGAATGACGCGGACATACCTGCGTGGCCGCGATCTAATCCTGTTTACATAAAGTAAACCTGCTCCCCAGCAGGTTTACGCTTACGGCTCTGTTGCTATGACAGCAAGTCCCGGATGGGCTTCGGGGAACCGAACGATCCAGGATCACGCGAAATCGTCAACAATCTAATCCAGCTAACTCACTTAGCGCGGTACGAAGAACAGGCCCCAGGTAAAGACCTATAGTAAACGTTTGACCTCTGTTATTGCCAACAAAGGTTATGTTACAAAGTATTGAGTTGCATTTTTGTTATTGACCAAATACTTATATTCCACCCTGATTTACGAATAAATTCTTTACAAATCCTACCATGTGAATTCATGGATTTTTTTTCACATTCTGTCTCTCACAGTTGAAGTGTACCTCTGGTGCAAATTACTGACCTCTGTCATCATTTTAGGTGGGGGAACTTGCACAATCGGTGGCTGACTAAATACTTTTTTGCCCCACTGTATATATACATATATATCATAATAATCTGACAATACTATAATATTGGCCATATTATATTTACATTGCCACAGTGAGATGACTTTGGTCTCATGAGCAGCATTAACTAATTGTTATTTACTAACTAATCTTAAATAACTGTTCAGCACAGAAATGAAGCCCAACAATCATGTTTACAGTCCTGTGGTCTCAGCCTCAGATACTCAACTAATCAAAGTGATGTCATGACAAAAATGAATGACTAACAAAACATTTTTCTCCTTCATTTCTGTCACACAAAGCTGTATGTAAGGTGTCTCGCGGTTAGTATCATGGTTGCTAGGCAACCTAAACAGCGCCGGTTGTTCAGTGATGACGCGACGAATCCTACTTCCGGGTCTAAAGTAGTCTGCGTTTAATATGGCTTTTGTGTTGTTAACATGTTTAATGTTTTGTATTTTCTTCTATTTGATCTCAAAAAGCTCCTAAAACAGTCAGTGATCACTGTTGACCTCCCTCTGCTTTTATTACTGCTAATCATTTATTTAAGCTCAGTTTTTAAAACCTTAGGATGTAACTACAGCCCAGCCCATGCAGCAGTATATGAATGACTAACCTCGTATTGTGGATGGATTATCTCAGTTGTTCTCCTGGCTGAAGTTTGGTCCTTTTACAGCATCCTGCCATGCGATTACATTTGTTCCTGACAACCGAAAACACTCACGTTAACTTTTATCGCGTGGAAAAAAGGTTAGCTTGTTTATATTATGCTAACATAGCTGTGTCGCTAGCGGTCACGTAGCACATCATTATATACCAGCTAGCCCAACTTCAGTAACCCTACAAACGTCACTGCTGTTTAGTTTTCTGTCTTCATTTATGCTGGAAGTGATAACAGAGCTGTACGTTTGAATTTGTTTCCAAAACCCCGCAGTCAGGACATGCTATATTGTATTTAGATAGAAGCTAGCGAGCTAACTCCCTGCTAACTTCTAACTCCGTTAAATGTCATAAATTCCGTTTTCATGGATTCCTGGATGTTAAACTCAATTGTTACACCTGGTAGAGCAGAACGCTGATCATTTTATTAAAGATGAAAGACTTTAGACAGTTTTTCAACTCTCAGTAATGCCATAGCGTCCCATTTCACAAGCCTCTCACTTCCGCACTTATAGTACGCACCGTACGTAGTACGGGTAGTGCGCGTACTTCAAGCGTGCAGTCTCTTAATTGGGACTCAGCCTCTGAGTGAACTCAAAGTACAAACTATAAGTACACAAACAAGAACGTAGCTCAGAGTGGCGGACACACTCGGCCTCATTGGTCCAGCTGTGAGTCCGTTACCGTGAACTATGGAGCGGCAGATTTGTGCTGTTTGTGCAGGAACTAAGCTGCACACAGCTGATGTTAGCCAGGAAAACATTACACACTGACTTTGATGGAGAGAACGGAAATGAAACATGAGCTGAACAAACAGTAAAGTTCCTAAAGACAAACTTTTAAAGGAGGAAACAAAGCAAACTTACAGTTTCTTCACACACACCAACAACAAGTTCCACACCTGGACAATAAACACGAAAAAACAGGTGAGCTGCTTCCTGGCAGGAGGCGGGATTCCACCGGAAGCAGAACAGGTGGGAGGGGGGGGGTGCAGATTTTCACAATAAGAGCACTTAGAAAAAATTCAGTTAATCTCAAAATGGCATCAACAACTCTGTGCTATTTCTTTCTCAGAGCAGATTCGGGCATTACTCAAATAATAAAGGCTTTTTTTAAAAAAAATATTATACTTTTCATTAGTCTCCAGTTTTATGATTATAAGGCTAAAAATCAACATGAATTTGGTTCTAATCAAAGAAGCTCCTTTAATGTCTGTCATAAAAATCCTCACACAGACTTAAAAAGGCGACATTAATGTTAAAATAAATGAATGAAACTTCAGCTGAGAGCTTAATGGAGTCACCATAAGCAGTTCATAGTAGTCACAGCTCTTAATTATTCAGCTTTTCATGAACTAAAGTCATGGTGTGTCAAAGTTTGTGTGAGAAGCTACTTTATGGACAGCTGTAGAACACATCATTATTATTTCTTCATAAATTAAACACACAAGTTTGTCTGTAGATGATTTAAAGTGTGTCATTGTGCAGTTAAAGCTGTTTGTTTGACGCCTTGACCTCCTGTGAAACCAGCTATGAATGAAAAAAAAGTTTCACTTTGGTACAAAATCAACATGTTAACATGAAAACCAGAGAGACTGCAGAACATCTGGAACATCTGCACTTTGACCCAAACTGCTATACTGAGAATATTGTCTACATATTACAGACATGAAGCAAACCTTTATTTTTATTTCTTACATGTTCATGGGTGGATGGACGTGTTGCTTCAATGTCCCACATCTTCTATTTAAATATGAACTGTGAACTACATATAATCATCTGTAAATGGTTTGAGGCACACTGATGCCACCTACAGGGCTGGTGGGGAACAGCAGTGATCTGAAATCATGTGAGATGTTAATGAGTGAGAAGTTAGATAAAAACGTACTTAATATAGCTGTAAGTGATAAAAGTTCATCTAAAACAAAAGATAAATCAATTGAGTCTTTGTAGAGTTCATCTGGTGCACACATGAATTATGTGATGAAAGCTTTATTTCACTGAATGTTTCATCAAAGCTCATTTCAACATGTTGAAGCCATGAATGAAAGAGAAGACTGAGAATGGATCACATGATGTTTAAGGTGTGTCATGAGCAGTGTTCGTCAAGGTACTTGAAAAAAATAGTCAATAACTAACTACTGATTACTTCTCCAAAAGAGTAATCCCGTTACTTTACTGATTACTTATTTTTAAAAGTAATTAATTACTTAGTTACTTAGTTTAAAAACACAATTTACAACCTGGACAGGTAATAAAGCAATAGATCCTTCAGCCCAATTCTACTTTTTCTGCATAATCCATCATACAAAACGTAATCAAATGGAAAAGTCTCTTTTAAAAACTTGTTTTACTAGTTGTAATCTTTTAACTTCATGCATTTAACTTCATGCTAGCTAAGGGTAAACGTAAATTCAGTAAAATCATAATTCACGTCGGCAGTAATGACACCCGGTTACGCCAATCGGAGCTCACTAAAATCAATATTGAATCGGTGTGCAACTTTGCCAAAACAATGTCGGACTCTGTAGTTTTCTCTGGTCCCCTCCCCAATCAGACCAGGAGTGACATGTTTAGCCGCATGTTCTCCTTAAATTGCTGGCTGTCTGAGTGGTGTCCCAGAAACGATGTGGGCTTCATAGATAATTGGCAAACCTTCTGGAGGAAACCTGGTCTTGTTAGGAGAGACGGCATCCATCCCACTTTGGATGGAGCAGCTCTCATTTCTAGAAATATGGACAAATTTATTAAACCCCCAAAATATGACTATCCAGAGTTGGGACCAGGAAGCAGAGTGTCAGTCTTACACGCCTCTCTGCAGCTTCTCTCCTCCTGCTATCCCCCCAAAAACCCATCTCCATAGAGACTGTGTCAGCTTCCAAAAAGACAAAAAACAAACTAAAAACCAGCAACAAACAACTTAAACATAAAAAAATCACAAAGAAAGAACAATACAGTATCCATATCTGAACCAAAGAGTAAAACAGTGAAATGTGGATTATTAAATATTAGGTCTCTCTCCTCCAAGTCTCTGTTAGTACATGACTTAATAATTGATCAACAAATTGATTTACTCTGCCTTACAGAAACCTGGTTGCAGCAGGATGATTATGTTAGTTTAAATGAATCAACACCCCCGAGTCATTCTAACTACCAGAAATCTCGAAGCACAGGCCGAGGGGGCGGTGTGGCAGCAATTTTTCACACCAGCCTATTAATTAATGAAAGACCAAGACAGACTTTTAATTCATTTGAAAGCCTGATGCTTAACATTGTCCACCCCAGCTGTGAAACTCAGAAACCAGTCTTACTTGTTATCATCTATCGTCCACCTGGGCCTTACACAGAGTTTCTGTCTGATTTCTCAGACTTTATATCTAATTTAGTTCTGAGCTCAGATAAAATAATTATTGTGGGTGATTTTAACATCCATGTAGATGCTAAAAATGACAGCCTCAACATGGCATTTAATCTGTTATTAGACTCAATTGGTTTCTCTCAAAATGTAAAAGAACCCACCCACCACTTTAATCACACTCTAGATCTTGTTTTAACATATGGCATCGAACCAGAACATTTAACAGTGTTTCCTGAAAACCCTCTCCTGTCTGATCATTTCCTGATAACATTTACATTTACAATAAGTGATTACACAGCGGTGAAGAGTAGACTTTATCAAAGTAGATGTCTTTCTGAAAGCACTGTAACTAAGTTTAAAGAATATAATCCACCCACTGTTATCATCTCCAATGCCCTGTACCAACACAGAGCAAAGCAGCTATCTGAACGCTACCCCAACAGAGGTCGATTATCTTGTTAATAATTTCACCTCCTCACTACGTACGACTCTGGATACTGTAGCTCCAGTGAAAACTAAGGCCTCAAATCAGAAGTACCTGACTCCGTGGTATAATTCTGAAACACGTACCCTAAAGCAGATGACTCGTAATCTGGAGAGGAAATGGCGTGTCACAAATCTAGAGGATCATCATTTAGCCTGGAGAAATAGTTTGCTGCTTTATAAGAAAGCCCTCCGCAAAGCCAGAACATCTTACTATTCATCACTGATTGAAGAAAATAAGAACAACCCCAGGTTTCTCTTCAGCACTGTAGCCAGGCTGACAAAAAGTCAGAGCTCTTTTGAGCCAACCATCCCTTTAACGTTAACTAGTAATGACTTCGTGAACTTCTTCACAACTAAAATTTTTATCATTAGAGAAAAAATTACCAATAATCATCCCACAGATGTAATATTATCTACAGCTACTCTTAGTACCATTGATATTAAGTTAGACTCTTTTTCTCCAATTGATCTTTCTGAGTTAACTTCAATAATTACTTCCTCCAAGCCATCAACGTGTCTTTTAGACCCCATTCCTACAAAACTGCTCAAAGAAGTCCTGCCATTAATTAATTCTTCGATCTTAAATATGATCAACCTATCTCTAATGATTGGCTATGTACCACAGGCCTTCAAGCTGGCTGTAGTTAAACCTTTACTCAAAAAGCCATCTCTAGACCCAGCAGTCTTAGCTAATTATAGGCCAATCTCCAACCTTCTTTTCATATCAAAAATCCTTGAAAGAGTAGTTGTCAAACAGCTAACAGATCATCTGCAGAGGAATGGTTTATTTGAAGAGTTTCAGTCAGGTTTCAGAGCTCATCCCAGCACAGAAACAGCTTTAGTGAAGGTTACAAATGATCTTCTTATGGCCTCTGACAGTGGACTCATCTCTGTGCTTGTCCTGCTAGACCTCAGTGCTGCGTTCGATACTGTTTGACCATAATATCCTATTAGAGCGATTAGAACATGCTGTAGGTATTACAGGTACTGTGCTGCAGTGGTTTGTATCATATCTATCTAATAGACTCCAATTCGTGCATGTAAATGGAGAGTCCTCTTCACACACTGAGGTTAATTATGGAGTTCCACAGGGTTCAGTGCTAGGACCAATTCTGTTTACATTATACATGCTTCCCTTAGGCAGTATCATTAGAAGACATAGCATACATTTTCACTGCTATGAAGATGACACCCAGCTCTATCTGTCCATGAAGCCAGATAACACACACCAATTAGTTAAACTGCAGGAATGTCTTAAAGACATAAAGACCTGGATGGCCGCTAACTTTCTGCTTCTTAATTCAGATAAAACTGAGGTTATTGTACTCGGCCCTGAAAATCTTAGAAATATGGTATCTAATCAGATTCTTACTCTGGATGGCATTACCTTGGCCTCCAGTAACGCGGTGAGGAACCTTGGAGTCATTTTTGACCAGGACATGTCCTTCAACGCACATATTAAACAAATATGTAAGACTGCTTTCTTCCATTTGCGCAACATCTCTAAAATTAGAAATATCCTGTCTCAGAGTGACGCTGAAAAACTAGTTCATGCATTTATTACTTCCAGGCTGGACTACTGTAATTCATTATTATCAGGATGTCCAAAAAACTCACTGAAAAGCCTTCAGCTAATCCAAAATGCTGCAGCAAGAGTCCTGACAGGGACTAGAAAGAGAGAGCATATTTCTCCTGTTTTGGCTTCCCTTCATTGGCTTCCTGTTAAATCCAGAATTGAATTCAAAATCCTGCTCCTCACATACAAGGTCTTAAATAATCAGGCCCCATCTTATCTTAATGACCTTGTAGTACCATATCACCCTATTAGAGCGCTCCGCTCTCGCTCTGCAGGCCTACTTGTTGTTCCTAGAGTATTTAAAAGTAGAATGGGAGGGAGAGCCTTCAGTTTTCAGGCCCCTCTTCTGTGGAACCAGCTTCCAGTTTGGATTCGGGAGACAGACACTATCTCTACTTTTAAGATTAGGCTTAAAACTTTCCTTTTTTCTAAAGCATATAGTTAGGGCTGGACCAGGTGACCCTGAATCCTCCCTTTGTTATGCTGCAATAGATGTAGGCTGCCGGGGGATTCCCATGATGCATTGAGTTTT